CGCAGAGGCAAGGAAGACCCTACCCTCGAACGCCGCTCGTTCCGCCCCATTGACTTTGCCATGGAGAGAGAGAGAGAGAAGCTTTGAGTCTTTGACACATGCTCATGCTAAGAGGAGAAAGAAAAAATGTGAGAGGAACCCGGACAATACTGCCTGGGAGTGTTAACCGTGTATGCTTTTTGAATTACCAGCTAAAGGGGCAGAGTGAAAGTGTCCACGGATAGCTTCTCCCCCCTACCTGGTATAAGGCCACCAACATCAAAGGGGAGCCTTCACATCTGCCCTATGACCTGTCAGGTATTGTGTTTTGCTAAGTGTTTGTCTTGGCTGTTCGTAGTCGAGTGTTCTAAAATCCAAAAAATCTGTAGGGAAGGCCCAGACATCTTCGGCTAAATGCTTCAAGCTCATGGTCATCCCTAGGCTTCTTATGCGCTTTTTTAGGATGTAGAAAGCCCTTACACCATCGAGCAAAATGTAGGTTGTCTTCACAAACACTTTTCTATGTGGTCACGGATTAGGAGATGCTCCTCCTTTTGAACCCCGATGAGTGCGTCCAACATATTATGTCTCCTAAGAGGAAAATCTGAGCAGATACCTAAGATAGGGAAGTACATTTCGTTTCTTTCACGAAAAACGCTGATCCAGTAACACCTTAACTTTCAACTTTCCTTATTATCTATCTCGACATCATCCATAGCTACGCATATGCGTCTTTCTTCGTCCATCCATCATAGCCAGATACTAATCCATCCAGCTGGTTGCTCACATCTCTCATCCCCGAATCACCCTCCCACGACCCCAACAGCCTACTTTTATACACCAACACCATACAGAACGAACTACACATTCTTGTCCCCCTTCCCTCCTCCATCCTAATCAACCCCAAACTGGCCAACAACAAAACTTGAAAAGATGTAAACATAAGTACCCACCAGGCCACCGCTTCCATGCATCACACACTAAGCAGTAAGCAAAAGGAAAAGAAAAAAAAAGAAATGCTAATCGATAAACAGAAGATATAATCAGAAGGGCGAACGCAGTAATCTATAATGTAAGAAAAAAAAGGACATCAACGATGAATTGAATGAAGAAAAAATATAATCAAAAGGAAGAAAACGGAGACCGAAGACAAAAAAAAAGAGCAAAGGGCCATGATGGGTATCAACCATACAAAGAGAATATAGGTAGAAGAGGAATAAGAGAAATTACAATAATCTCTCTCTGAAAAAAAAAAAAAACAAGCCCCATCATATATATATATATATATATATATATATAGGCAATGCATTACTTCTTTCTCGCACCCAGTCATCTTCCCCTCACCATCACCCTGCTGTACAAACCTTCATATAGTCCACAACCCCTTCCTTCCCTCCTTCCCCCCCCTTTCTCCCCCTTCCCTTTCAACAACGACCCCTTAAATCTTACGAGAAGTCATCTGCATCCCCTTCGTTAGGTCCCCCGGCAATCCTCTCCACCCGTCCAACCAACTCCTTCGCCCCGCGCGCAATCTCGAACGCAATCGGCGGCAGCGTCTGGTTCCACATCTTCCACTCCCTGCCGCCCTTCTGCTCGCCCGAATTCGCCAATTCGACGCCCCTCGCGCCCGCCTCGAGCAACCTCTCCCTGCACGAAGCCAGTCTATCCATCCCGTTGGCCAAGTCAGCATCCTTTAGGTGTGGCGGGAGGGTTTGATCGGTCTCCGAGAGGATGGCATTCACGATGGAGGCAATGGACGAAATTTCAGATTGCACGGGGTCGATGTCGGCATCGGAGCGGACGAGCTGGACGAGGTTTTGGATGGTTTGTACTAGGCTGGCGGTCTGGTCATCCAGATAGATCTTGAGGTCCTGCGCGACGCGGGTGCCATTACCCGCCGGGGTACCGTTCGGCATCACCCTTCCCGCCGGTACCTTCGGGAAGGCAGACGTCGTGGCCTGGGTGCCGGACGACTCCCTTGGCGAAGGGACTGGGCTGTAAGCAGACGAGACGCTATCTCGGTTGCCGCCTAGGCCTCGAAAAGGAGGAGGGGGAACAGGCGGAACAGAGGGCTGGTCCTGCATGGTCGAGCGCTTGGAGGTCACTTGGGATTGGGGGTGAGAATGGGACATGGAGGTCTGGCTGCGGGGTGAGAAGAAGCCGGTTGTCGTGCCGATCGGGGTGACGGTGCCGTTGTTGTCGTCATCGTAGTCATCGTTTTCGAGTTCGTCGGCGGGGGTAGGGCGGATCTTGACCAGCTTGAGCAGCTCCACGACAGCAGCGACTAAGTGAGACGCAGCCGCGTCGAGGAGAGAGACGGGCGAGATACCGGCTGAGTTGGCGAAGTTCTTGGACGCCGTGATGAGGTTATTCGCGGTCGACGAGACGCGCGACTTGAGCTTCTGGAACTGCATCCCGTTCTCAGCAGGCAGCTGGCCGGCGTCCAGATTCTTGGTGATGCGCCTGACCGAGACCACAACGGCCTTCATAGAGTCGATGACCCGATCCGGCGCGTCTGTCCTCGCCCTCTGCAACAGCTCATCGATCGCCATCTGGAACTTGGTGACGTGCACGTCCTTGACCATGCCGCCCTCCTCGTCGACGAAGCCCTTCTCCCTCACATACCTGGCCGCGTCCTGATCAAGCAGACTAACCCCATCGGCGCTGGCGCCCCGCATATCCCTCAGTTGGGCCCTCGTCCTGGCGTACCGATTCTGCCACAAGCGCACCTCATTCTCCAAGTTCTCGATCGTCTTCTCCAACATGCTCTGCTTCTCCCAGGCGGCACCGCTCTGTTCCGAAATCATGCGCATCTCCCTCAAGAAAGCCTGCGCCTCGCGCCTGACCTCCTCCGTCACCTGTTCCTGCTCTTCGAGCGCCATGCGCAGCGCCTTATTCTCCCTCTCCAGCTCAGCATCGCCGGCGGCGCTTCCCAAGCGACTGCTAGCACGGCGGGCTTCCTCGAGCTGCTCGCGCAGCTGGCGCGTCTCATTCTCATGCTCGTCGCGCACGCGGTCCAGCTCGCGCTGCAGGTTGTCGGACATCTCCTGAGCCTCGGCGAGCTTCTTCTCCAGCTCGGCGCGCGCCTCATCCCAAGCCTTGCGGTCTTCGTCGGCCCGGCGCTCGCCGTTCAACACGCCGTTCAGTTCCTCGTCTTTCTTGCGTAGCTGTTCCTCCATGTTGTCCAGCTTCTCGCGCAGGTCGCGAACTTGTTGCTCGTACTCCTCTATAATCTTCTTCTCCGACTGTATCGTGTTAGCCTCACGTAGGAAACACCGCAACGGCAGCAGGCAGCAGACAGGAGTAAGAATAGATTACCTCAGAAGGCCCAGTATCCCTCCTCCTCGAGAATCCATCTCTCGGTTCCGAGCTCAACGGACTAAGGTTGTCATCGTCCTCCTCGACCATGGTGCTCTTATTGGGCACGATTGTATTGCTCTGGAACTGCTTGGGCATCGGACGACCGGGATAATCGCCATTCGCGACCGAAGGGGACGGGGGAACCGGGAAACTACCGCCTGGGCCGGGGCCAGGGGCACCATTCATCATGGGCGGAGCCATGCTCCTCCCGCTGCGAATCGAGCTAGCTTCCGAAGGCCGTCTCCGGCTCTGATCTCTCGGGGGATATCCATTAATCGGGGTCTGCGAGCGGGACGGCGAACCGGGTCCTCCACGTACCGACATGGGCGTTCCGACGCGCGGTATATCATTCCCCGCGAAATGCGGGAACCGTCGTTCCAATTCGCAAAACACGTCCGTAGCGAGATCCCTAAACCTCGGCGGTCCGAGCGAACTCAACTTCTGCCTAGCCTGGTTCCTCTTCGGGTGAAAACTCTCCTCGGGCAGCAGGTACTCCGGCGGACCTGTACCAGGCGGCGCGTTGGGCGGGCGGCGGGCAAACGCCTCGCGGCGCTTGAGCTCGTCGTAGACGTCGGTACTAAGCTCGAGGAACTGCACGGCCGTCAGGCGCTGCAGCTTGTCGCGGGCGCGGTTAGGCGGCGGGTTAGGCTTGCCGTTTTGCGACGTCGCCGACAAGAAAGCCTTGAGCGCGTTGTAGTGCTCCATGAGGACGCCCTCTTGGCTCTCGAGAGCCTGGCTCTGGCTGCGACCGCTCTCGCTGCGGGCGTAGAGGTTGGTTCCGGTACTGGAGCGGCCGATCGAGGGGGGAGGGGAAGGACCGCCGGTGGTGCTGCGCGGGCCTGGAGGACCACCGCCTGGACCGGGAGGACCTCCAGGCGGGCCGGGAGGGCCGGGAGGGCCAGGAGGGCCGGGGGGATAGTTACCGTTCATGGGTGGTGGTCGTGAGTCGGGCGGGGAGTTGAAAGGGCCGCCGGGACCGCGATTGTTGGGCGGAGGATAAGGACCTGGAGGGCCACCTTGCGGGGGGAAAGGGGGACCGTCGCTTCCAGGGCCGTCTCTGTTTGGATAGTTATTGTCGCCAGGGTAAGACCATTCACTTCCGCCTACAGAGACTGGAGAGAGCGGAGTGGCAGGAGGGCGGGAATTCCCATTCATCGTGGTAGTTTTTGAAGGCGGATCCGGGTCCGTGGCACTTGAGTGCGGCGCGGACCACCTTTGAGCTTGTTGGCCGTCTCAGTGGCAGCTGGGTAGTCGCAGACTTCTTTCTTTTCTTTTCTTTTTTTTTTGATTTTTTTTTTTGGTAGTAACAGGATGCAGCAAGTGGCGGCAAGCAGCAGGGAGCGAGCGTGTTGGTCAGACAGTCGATGCGGCAGGGTTCGCAGGGTCCGCAGGGTTCACAGCAGCAAGCAGCGGGAGAGTCGATATGTACAGTACTGCACGCGTACCGGTTGGTTGGGTGGCGTCAGGGAGTGGAGATTGTCGTCGCTGTTCGCCGTTGTTTGTCCTGTTCGATTCTGGCTGTCACTGAAGTGGTCCTGGTGCTTGTCCTTGTGCTTGTCCTTGTGCTCGTGCTGCGGAGCTGCATGCAACAGCCGGCAATTGCCAGTCGATTGTGGGGTCACAGAGGGTCGCTTGTGTGCCGATGGAGAATTTGAGATGTGGCTGATGATAAAAGGGCGTGATCTGTGATGTCGATGATGCTTGTTCCAGGTTACAAGGTGAAACGCATCCCTCTCCTCCTCTCCTCCTCCTTCTGCCCACAACCGTTGGGTGTGATCTAAGGGTGTGGCGTTCACGGTGCAGCTGTTCTCAATGACATGGGACAGCAGGCTGCTTGCTTTGCTTGAGAATAGTGGCGACGACAGCACTGCATGTAGTTATGTTCTGGGTTGGTCCTTGTTTTGTCAGAAGGAGAAAAATGTCGGTTCTCGGCGACCTGGGAGCTCGTTCGAGGAATGCGGAGAAATATCGATGCTCAAAATTTCGTGGCTTAAGGTTGCCGTAGGCGATTCAATTCGGATCAATGGCTTCAGATCACCTTTCTTGCTCGGTCCCTTGCGGTCTCTCTGTCTCCTGTCGTAGTGCCTCTGGAGGGTTGCTCCCGTGTGCCACAAACCACGCGGTGGCACGCACGCACGCACGTCACCAACAACGGAAAAAACTGGGTCAACCAAAAAGGACTGAAAGGGAGAGAGAGGGGAGGGAGGGAAGGAAGGAAGGAAAATTCAATCAAAGAAGGACACACAAGCTCATCATCCAAAACGATTATCAAAGAGAAAAATAATTCCCTAATAGACAAAAATTCCTACCACTGTCTTTATTCACAAAACTCGAAGACAGACAAAGAAAAGACCGATGGACGACAACGAAGAAGACAAAAAAAAGTCAGAAAAAGAAGCCTATACGCCATCGAAAGCTGGAAGCTCAAAGCCCGCCAGCCAACCAGCGCCGGTTGCCCCTGGCTAAGGTACGTAGCGGAACTGAACTCCTCCCAGCCCAATGGCCCCAGCGCTCGCGGCGTTCCCAGGCTCAGTTCCAGCGGGAGGGCGATTCCCACTTGCGGGCAAACCGCGTGACATGATTGGCGAGAAGGGCGCAATTTCCTGGTTATTCGCGCGCTAAACAAGGGACGGTTAAGGATGGTGGGGCACACCCGCCCAACTGGCTGGCTGCCAGCCAGTGGTCGCTCTGACGGGACTGACAAGAGACAAGCGGAAATCGATCTTGTCCGACACGACACACGTGGTTGGCACGGAGGGGAGGTTGCAAGTCACTTGCTGCCATTCCTCACCTTCAATCTTGAACTCTGGGGTTTGTGCGGAGGGTTGTAGGAGCCAATCCGTTTGGCTGTCACGGTGTGTTTTTGACGGCCAGATCTATGAGGCAGCACAGTCACAGAAACGGACGCGTCCTCTTTTCTCTTGACTTGATCTCCACGGCTTCCCCTGAAACTCCCTGGCCCGGCCCGGCCACGATCATATGTATGCATGAACAGGGAGAACCTCAAGGGGTTCTCTGGAAAGGGGGACACAACTCTCAAAAAAAAAAAAAGGGGGGGGGGGGGAGAAAGCGGAAAACAGGGCTTGAAACACCGCAACTTGAAAATTTTATTCTCGATTGTTTGTGAGAGCTTGAGGCTGATACTACGATGATCAGGGATGTGGGAATTGAATAAGCCTGCCTAATTTTAGTGTGGAGATCCAGCAGATCTGGTCAGGCACACGGCATCTGCGCGTGTCATTTCCGTGGCTTTTTTTTTCTTTTTTCTTTCTTTTTTTTTTCCCCGACTGCGTCGGTTCGTCCCGTCGGTCAGGGACATGTCCGTGATCCCGCACGGTGGGGGAAACAGACTTCCAGGGGTTCATTGCTCTCAGCGCCGGATATGGCGCTTGGTAATTTTCAACCAAGGACAATCTTCGAACCTAAAACCTCTGGGCCAAAAGAGCTCAGAGAAAAAGGGGCGGTTAGCTGATCCAAATAAATGAAGAATGGAGGTTGTAAAACGGATTCTTTGGAAGCTCTGCTAGATATCGAATCGAATCTTATCCGACCACCTAATAGGCCTGTCAAGGTTTTGCCAGAATGAGTAGGTAGAAAATCTGAAGACAGAATCTCCCATTGGCTACCCACGCCAATATCATTACTCCCTATCAGTAATTTGGTATCAAATATCCCCCTTTTAAACTGGTATCTCATCCCGTCCCGTCCCATCAATCCTGATTTCCCTTCCATACCCTAACGCCAATTTCCGCCATGCCCGAATAAAAGAAAACAGCATTCATCAGAACCAAGATAGAGTCCACGTCGCAGGCAAATCCGGCCACCTCTCCTGCCAAGCAGCCAGCACCTCGGGCACACGCTCATCGAACGTAGCCCTGCCCGCCGCGCTGCCCGAGTCAAACGCCACTGGCCCGACCCGCTCCCTTTCTTCACAAGCGACCTTATTCAGCGAATCTGCCAAATCCACAATCGCACTCCCACCAATCGATGCATCCTGGTGGTTATCCCTGATATCAATGTTGATGACATGCACGGGGCGGTTGAGCGGGGATCCGCGCATCAGCAGATCATCGATCACCGCATCCCAGCAACGCTCCTCGCAGGTTATGACGATGTCGGGCACGCCGGCCTCCATGCCTTGGCTGCCTAGGTCTTTCTCGTGCTTTACTCGAGGCATGCCGATCTGCCAGTCTTGCCAGCGCTCCGGGCCCCACTTGATGGAGCGGTTGCGGCCGAGCATGTTGAGCAGGCCGTTCATGCGGTACAGCCGAGGGTCTTTGGCCTCGAGCTCTTTGTAAATGCTGTCGTAGGAGGTCTCGTTGAATTTGTAGACGTTTGGTTGGGTGATTGTTGGACCGGGCAACCGGACGAGGGAACCGGTGCCGAAGGAGATGACGGGATATTTGGCCTGGGAAAGGCGCAGGTGGCCTTCCATGGACCTAAGCCTCAATTAGTTTTTGTCCGTATAGACGGATGGATGATGGCTCGACATACCGATTCTGGTTGGAAGCACAAACGGTACAAAACTTTAGGCGAAACGGCGGCTCATTCTGCTGACCGTTCTGAGCCGGAGAAGGGCCGGCCGCTCCATTGGTGTCCATGGACACCGGAGAAGAATGCTCAGTAGTCATCTTCGACTTCTGTCAAGTCTCCTGCCAGGCCCAACAGCCTGTGCGGATAGCTTAGGGCTGTCAGCCTTTGTTTCTCTCCGCATTCCAATGACTAAAATATCTCTCAGGAGAAAAAAAAATAGCAAATATCAGAAAAGAGACGCGTACACAATTCTGTCATCAACGCATGCTTGAGGAAAAAAAAAAGCAGGCTACAGACAGCTCCAATAAATGCTCATCACCAAATCAAAGTCAACGCAAATACGCGCGCAAGATGACAGCAACAATAGATTGAAGGAATAGAGATTACCGACCTTGTCTAAAAAGGAATTTATGCCCAAGTCATGAGATCACGTTCTCATCGTGGTCATGCGTGGTAGGTTGAGCGCGTCCCGATCGCCAGTCGCGCGCAACAGCAAGCCCAAGCCTTGTGAGCCTTGCGGTGCGAGTGTGAGATGCAAAAGAAGCAGAAAGGGTCGACGTCAGCAGTGCCGCAACGGGAAAGGGAAAATGTTTTCGGCGGCTTCCTTCTTGTGGTCTTGGGGGTCTTGGGGCCTGAGATTTCGGCGACAGGGTTCATCCAATCAGCATGCGATGATGCCATTGACCGCCTTCCCGCGAACTTCCTTGTCGGCCGGCCATCTGACCCCTGCCTGGTGCTGGCGTTTCAGGCGGCGTCTTTCCCCGCCACATGCCCCTGAGATGGGCCGCAGAGAGGGCGAAGCCACAGTGAGCCATGGGACCCTAGCTCCAGAAGAACCAGCTCAAATTCATCCACACAGCTTACTTCTGCCAGGTGCCAAAGCTTCAAGCTAGAGAGCATCTTAACAGAGCTGTGATTTTGTTACAATTGTTGCTGCGTTTTATTTTTTCCAGTCCCTTCTCTGTCCTCAGGCTGTTTCTCTCACTTTAATCTGTATTGGAACAGAGTCTCAACGTTGCTAAAAATAGAGAATATGCAGATGGCAGCGGGGGTGGCACTCTTCGAGAGCGAGAGGAGAGCAGTCGTCCAGTTCTCTGCAAGGCGTTCTCGAAGCCGGCTGAGGATGACGATGCCACTCGTGTCTCTCTGCCTGTCGCATACACAATAAAAACATGCAATTTTTCTCAACCGCAGTCTCTGATCAAGCCAGTACCTCCCAGTACCTCCCCAGACCTCGTCATGTCAACTCCCCTATAGCCGAGCAGGGTATATCTCGTCCGTTTGCAGAGGGCATGCCGGACAGGACAACCTGCTCCCTTGTCCCCCCTCAGCGGACTCGCCAATCAGGGGTGCAGCGGGCGCAGAGAGCTGCAGTCTGGGCGGGCACCTGGACGAGGACGAGCGACGACCAACTGGTGGTTGAAACAACGTGGGATGCAGGAGGACAGAATTCTGCTCAAAGCTTTCCAGCGTTAGGACCTAGGGGAAAAAAAAAAAAAACAAGTCTCTCTTGTAGGGCTTGTAACCCTCACGAGTAGCTCACGAGAGCATCTTGAAGCCTGGCATCATCGTCATCCTGTGGTTGTGGAAGTCTTTTTGTCCGTCCGAAGAGGAGGGTCAGCCTGGCAGCGCGCTCAGGGCGCTCTCACTGACCTGAAGCAGAAGGGCCCTGGCCACCAGAACAACGCTTTATGGTGCTCCACTGGCCACTGCAGCGCCCAAGGCCAGGGAATTCAGGAGTGCCTGGCAAAGCTCCCACTGGACGTCCATTCATCATCAGGTTCTTGCTGCTGACCTTGAGCTTTTTCCCACTGGACTAAGTTCTTTCAACCGCCAGCTCTGCCACCTTGCGGCTCTCATCCGAGGATTCAACCGCGTGGCACCGACAGCGCTGGTCAGGGTTTTTTTTTTTTTTGATTTTGCCGCCGACAGTCCGCCGCTTCAGAAGACGACCTTCACCCTCGGTGATCATCCGTTGGCTTCCCCCTCCCGTAATCAAACCCAGCTCCCACAATTTCCACGGCAGCATTCAGCAGCGGCTCCATTCGAGCTTTTATCCCGCCGAGAGAAGTGGACTCGACCTCGCTTGAACCTCGAATTCCCCGTGTCCGACCTGAGCACAACAGTGTCGCCGACCGGTTCTCTGTCGCGGATATCTCTCCTCCGGAGTTCAATAATCCTACGCGACATCTGAGCGACATCCGATTTTACTCCCACTATTACATATTTCTCATTTCGGGAATCCCCTTCATCGCGCGACCGTCGCTGCGAGTCGCGCTGGCTTTCGCAAATCGCCTTGGCCAGCCGGCATCTTAGGTTGGCGCCCTGGTGCTTCTGGAGAAGAACCTGCACGCAACATCTCTTCTTTTTATTTTTCTTTTTCTCGCTTTTCTCCCAGCTCGAGGTACAGGTACCTACCGACCAGATACAGCACCTTCTCTCTTCAGGTTCCTGAGGATCAAACTATCCAGCGCTCGCGACAGCAGCACTAACAAGTGCTGCGGTATCCACGGCTAGGTCCACGGTCCACCTCCGGCTGCTACCTTACCAGCCTGTCGTAGCCTCTGCGACGCTGCCAGACAAAGAGCGAAAAGCGTCCAGCTCAACAGAAGCAGCGCATCAAACTTTCATCAAGCCGTCGCTTGAGCCTGGGCACGGCGAAGACGTACCCCACCTGGCGCTAGAAAGAGGCACGCCCGCCGCGCCCAGCTGCCCAGCGCCTCGTCTCATCTTAGCTAGCGCCTTATATTTCTTTTTCCCCCCCCCCCTTTTTCCTCCTCTAAAACTTATCGTCGCCAGTTCTTTTACTCCTTAACCATGACAGCCGTCGTCTCGCCCGACTCGTCACCCCCAACCCCGACGACACCCCCGGCGTTAACCGCCTCGCCCGCGGCTCTCTCTCCCACATCGGCCGACCCAAGCAGTCCCGCATCTGCGGCGCAACAACAGCAACAACACCCCGCACTCCCCCCCCTAATCACAACCAGCGGCTCGACATCTCCCCCAACAACCCGTCGCAACAACATCCCGCGCCCCATGTCCCAAGGCTCCTCAAAACATCGCCTCTCCCAGTACTCGACCGTCTCTTCCTTGCCAACCCGCTCCCGCCCCGGATCCTACGTCTTCCCTTGCCACCCCTCCAGCCTGCCCTACACCTCCGTGCGCGACTTTGCCTACCCTGTCACGCATCCTTTGCATTACGGCCCGCCGCCCGAGCCGACCCAGCCGCCGACCCCAGCCGGGAGCGAGAAACGTCGCCTGTCGGACCCGCCTGCCTACTGGGAGAGCAAGACTAGCTGGGACGAGGGGGAATCCTCCTCGTCATGGTGTAGTTCTGGTTGGTTTCGGGCCTCAGCCGAGGTTCCGCCCCCCATTAACCTTGCGGATGGCCCACCGTGGAGCGAGGACGAGGACTTGCAGAGCCCCGTGGTGAGCACCCGGCACAGGAAGCACAAGAGCGGGTCTCACGGCAAGCGGCGCGGGAGCGCAGACAGCACGACCGCCGGGACCGGAGGCCTGCGGGACAGCGCTGGCGCGAACGGCGAGAACGGCTCCTTCACCAGCCAAACTGGCGGCTCACAAACAGCCAGCGGCCAAGCCGAACCCCAATCCCGCACCTTCGACGGCGGCGACTGGGCCTCGGGCGACGAAGGCAACGACGACAGCGACTGCTCCTCCGACGAATACTTCAACACCAACTCGTCGCGCTACTCGCGCGACTATCAGTTCACGATCGCCTCGCCCGACGAAGAGTTTCATGGGAAAGCCGTCGCGCTCTTCGACTTCGAGCGCGAAAACGAGACCGAGCTGCCCCTTGTCGAGGGCCAGATCATCTGGGTGTCGTATCGCTATGGGCAGGGATGGCTTGTCGCGGAGGATCCTAAGACGCAGGAGAGGGGGCTCGTGCCCGAGGAGTATGTTAGGCTGCTGAGGGATATTGAAGGGGGCATGGGAAGCCTCAATGCCGCTATGTCGACGTCGGCGGACACGCCAGATGCGGGGACCCCGACGCAGGCTGATTCGGCGGGGTGGTCGACCGGGTCGAATACGTCTGCTTCTGCTTCGGCTTCCGGAGCGAATGGGTACCATCAGCCGATTGTCTCGACGTTTTCGACGTCGTCGAAGGATCTGGAGCCGTACCCCCATGATTTGTTGGCGAGTACCACCGCCGGACAGCCGCCGCCTCCGGTGGTGCATTATCATGGGCAGCCGGGGGGCGGTGGGGGAGGGGGGTGTGGCAGTAACAGTAGTAGTAGTGGGACAAGCCAGGCGAATACGCCGACGCTGGCGGCGTATCAGGGGAGTTGGTCGCGAAGGGGGAGTGTGGAAGCTAAGAAGAGGGAGAGTGAGAGTGTGCAGAATGGGCAGGGGAAGAGGAATAGTGCTGGTTCGAATTCGACGATGATGGGGCAGGGTGCTGCGTTGGAGACATTGTCGGATGCGAGGTTGCAGGTGACGGCGGGGGGAAAGAGGGAAAAGTAGGTGACAGGACGATGACGATGACGATGATGACGACGACGACGACGACGACGACGACGACGATGATGATGATGATGGTGATGATGATGATGATGATGATGATGATGATGATGCGATCTGGGGTTAGGTGTAAGGGAAGAAGGAGATGATATGATGATGGTGCTTCGTTTTTATTTAGGAGTTTTTTTTTGTAGAGCTGGTTCCTCTTACACTCACGTTATTTTAGTTTACTGCTAGCCACTTTTATTGCGCGCCCTGAGGGCTGCCATTTATGATGGGCAATGGGGAGAAAGTGTATGTATAAGTACTGTCTTATACTACTCTCGGTATCATTCTAATTTGGTGAGGTTTGGGGCAGAGATGATTTTAGGATTGGGATGTGGTCATCGAGGGCAGAGGAGCGTGTTTTCTGCGAAACTTTTTGCCGTGATCATCATGTTGAGCTCTGAGGATACCTTCGTGGGGTTGATGGACGGAATATACCAAAATCAGTCTGCAGAGAAATATCATTGATTTAAAGCCTTATATATATATCAATCATGGCATGATTTTCAGCCTTCCTTTTCGTCATTCCCGCCGTCTTTTTTAAAGCATCCAGAGGGCCCTGTCAATGGGCAAAGATCGAGGTCCAACCCACCATGCAAAGCTTTCGGTAATTCAGATCTTGCAAACTTACCGTAATTACCATCCAGGTCCCTTGAAGCGCACTGAGCTCACCCAGCAGACGGATGACGTAAACCGCCCGAACTCCATCCGGCGTCCGGGTTTGTGGGGAGCTCCGTCCGAAAGTTTCTCTGGAGAGGTGACCTGTCTCGGTAAAAAAATACATCCCCCGTTCCATTCCCGAGCGAGAGAGCTGGAAAACTGCGACCCTGCAGGAGTTCCCGCGCTGTTTGGTTGCACACAGATCTTCCCCTCCCTCCCCTCCTCCCTCCTCTCCTCTTGCTTTCTTTCTCGTCAATTGACGCAACCACCGCTCTCTAAAGCTCATAGAGCATACAAAAAGACGGCAGCAATGAGCTTCTTCGTCCTGGGCCGGTCCGCTTTCCGGGCTGCAGCGCCGCTGCAGCGGGTGAGTTAAGCAGCTTTTATTCTCTTCCTTCTGCTGCCAGTATATTAGTAGACCACACACCAGCCAGCTAACTCTCCCCTTCCTCCTTCAACAGAGCTTCATCCGCTGCTACGCCACCGAGTCCACTGAAACCAAAAAGTCCGGCAGCAACGCCCTTCTCTACGGAGCCGGCGCCGCAGTCCTCGCCGGCGCAGGCTACTACTTCTTGAGCGGCAGCAGCACCACCGCGGCCGTCGAGCGCGCGGCGCAAAAGGCTGAAGAAACCCTCAAGCAGGCCGCTGCCTCTGCTGCTTCTTCCGAGCCCAAGAAGGCCTTCACCGGCGGCGAGCAGGGCTGGCTGTCCCTCAAGCTGGAGGACGTTGAGCTCGTCAACCACAACACCAAGCGTCTGCGGCTGCGCCTGCCCGAGGACGACATGGTCTCGGGTCTGCACGTCGCGTCTGCCGTCCTGACGAAATATCACCCCATTGGGGCCGACAAGCCCGTTATCCGGCCGTACACTCCCATCAGCGACGAGACTGAGAAGGGATACATCGATTTGCTGGTCAAGAAGTACCCCAACGGGCCGATGTCGACCTACCTGCACGACATGGTGCCCGGCCAGCGGCTGGACGTAAAGGGTCCCATCCCCAAGTACCCGTGGGAGCCCAACAAGCACAAGCATATTGCGCTGGTCGCCGGCGGCACGGGCATCACGCCCATGTACCAGCTCTGCCGGGCCATCTTCAACAACCCCGACGACCAGACCAAGGTCACGCTTGTCTTTGGCAACATCAGCGAGGAAGACATCCTGCTGAAGAATGAGCTGGCCAAGCTGGAGAATACGTACCCGCGGCGCTTCCGCGCGTTCTATGTGCTGGACAACCCGCCGGCGCATTGGACGGGTGGGAAGGGGTATATTACGAAGGAGTTGCTGAAGACGGTGCTGCCCGAGCCGAAGGAGGAGAATATCAAGGTGTTCGTGTGCGGGCCGCCGGGCATGATGGAGTTGATTAGTGGGAATAAGAAGAGTCCCAAGGATCAGGGTGAGTTGAAGGGGATTTTGAAGGAGCTAGGGTATAGCCCGGAGCAGGTTTATAAGTTTTAAGGTGAAAGGGGGGAAAGGGTTGGGGGTATGGTGTGATCGGGGAGGTTATTGTGCTTTAGGGTAGACGGTGGTGGCCTCTTCAGCGCCTGCGTGCATTTTATGAAGGCGGCTTTCTGCGATGCTTATGGTCATCTTGATGGATGGAGGCTGCTTGTAGCAGTAGCATGAATAGAGAGCTTAAGAGCTCGTGGGATTCTACGATTGTCTCTCGACTTCGACTGCTGATTATGCCTCTGGATGGTTGTCATAAGGGAACCAAATGTCTCGGGAACGACAACACTTCCACATCATGGACACAGACGGACCAGCAGACCAACAACAAAGTGGATTGTCACCAACCCATTACATTGTATACTTACTATATATGACCCCCTTTCCTCTCCCAAATGCCTGTCCTATCGATACATTGCCTTTATCGTACCTCTGTATAATCACCTTCCTTAAGTCCGATCCTCAGCTATCCTACATCTACTTAATCATTATGCCTTTATTATCCCTTTTGTACAGACCCATCCCTCCATCTATTATCTCACTTACCGAATGTGATCCTCCCTCTTCAGACAATCATGCCTCTTATCATCTATATACCACTTTCAATCCTATCCCACAATAACCCAATGGCTCACTGTTACCGGTAACACGTCTCCAATTCCATATTCTTCACTCCGACCTTATCACATCTTCCCCTTAACATCATCATCTCCCCAGCATCAACAGCTCACCTCCTTAACACCCAACACCACATCTTTTCAATATAACCCTCAACTTCCCCAGTATAGTGTGTATCTTGCCTCGGGCGCTATACCCGGCCATGCGTTGGTGTGGAGCGAAGAGCAGCACACTTTCCCCAGCGCCTTCCGCGAAAGCCGCAAAACCTGCGAATTCTAAGGTTAGCCACTGCTATTCTCCTCAAAAAAAAAATCAAAATTGAAATAAAGGGGTGAAGCGATGTCTCAGAGAGAAGATTTCCTCTACACTTTCCCCAGCAATGGTCAAATTTTCTCCAACAAGAATTTCAAAAGAGGAGAGAGTGAGCCCCCTCCGTTCCCGTGGAGAGCCAGAAGAAATTCAGACTAAGGATGACGATACGGTGTTTCATCATGACATCGCGACGACATAAAAAAGGAGAGAGAAAAAAAAGGCAGGAAGAAAATCAGAAGAGAATTGGATAGACTTATCTTTTACGTTGGGGGAACGTGAGTCTCTTGGTGTCGCGAACTTCTAGAAACCTTCGAACTCTTAGATCCTCCTTTACCCCCCTCCCCTCCCCCGGGGGGGCACCCCATTTGCATCATCCCACCACACCAGAGTTCCTATCTCACCTCCGAGATTTGTTTTCTTTTTTTTGTTTTTAGTTATTTCTTCATATTCCTTTTCCTGTTTTTTTAAAAAAATTTTGTTTGATAACGTAAGCAGAAATAGACCGATGCCGCAGAATTCGAGTTGGAAGAGATCTGAGAGGGCAGGAAAGAGCCTATTGTGTGAAGGCCGGATACCGTCCATACATGGCTGAGCTGAGTGATTTGTTTGATCATTGCCACGGATGGATGGATGGATGGATGAGGCGCGAAGTTGCCCTCCCAAACCTCAAGAAAAGACATATTCTGGTGCAAAAGGTGCTGAGCAAAGTTTTGGAACTTTTTGAAAATGAGGTCCGGGAGGGTATGACTACCTAAATTCTGAGGGCAGGGTATGCCATCCACCTGTGGCCAATTTTTAATTTTCTTAGTGATGATGAGGTGCCATGAATGGACGCATGATGAGCGTAGTGATGTCCCCTTCCCGGACTTTCAAAAACTTTGCTCAGATATTGCGATAAAAACGTGTTGTACCAGGCGAGTGATGCGATGTAAGGACGAGGTCTTGGAGGACTGGCCTTTTTCCGCTAGGGCAATGCCATCCATCCATGGCGAATTTTGGAGAGTTGGTGAGCGATGTACCATGGATTCATGGATGGATGGATGATGAACGCGGAAGATACCCCTCCCAGGCCTCGGCCTCTTTGTATTCTTGTATGTCCTTGGGTCCTTGCGGCGGTCGGTCGGTTGGTGAGGTCTGGGAGGGCTGCCCCAAGTTCTTAGTGGGCAGGGCGACCATTAGCATCATCCATGGCCAAGTTGTTTTTGTATTATGTTCAAATCCCATGGATGAATGCTGTGCTTCAGCACAATAATATTGCCTCCCATACCTCGAAAAAGCTCCTTCAAGGTCCCGAGCCCATCCGCCTTACTACCCTGGGACCTCATTTTTTTTTCTGTCAGTTACCCCAGGGCTCAAGCAGTTCAATCATCATCATAAGAAATCCTTCGCCGCTGATACGCGCCAGTCTCAGCTTGCTGAGCAGCATCTTCCTCACTGCCATAATCGAGTGCTTCGAGGCCTTTGTCAACGACGTCCCAGGTCCGTTTGCGCAGATCTATGACTTCACCGCCGTCATTGCCATCGTTGTGTTGCTTTCCGCGCTTGCGTTTTTTGTTATTATTATTTTTCTTGTTTGATGTGGATGAAGTTGATACAGATGCAGCGGCTGACACTGGTTGAAGTGGCGGGGTCGGAAGAGCGGAGAGAGCTCCTTCGGACAGTAAGGAGTCCTCTTCGTAGTCATCATCGTGGTCGTTGTCGTTGGGCTGGTTCCTGGCAGAGGAAGCAGCAGCAGCAGCACGTTGTTGTTCTTGTTCCAGTTCCTTTGCGCGACGCAAAGCTTCAAGCTCGGAGTGTCTGAAGATAGCGATTTGCTCGTCGGTGAGGGTGCGCTTCACGCCATCGGGGTAGTAACCGAGACCGTCGTCCTCTTCATCGTAATACTCATCATCCACCGCGTCGCTGTCATTTTCGTTGGTATCATATTGATTGGTGCTATACTTCACCGCGGTGGCAAACTCAGGACGAAGGAAGTGAGAGACGAAGTGGTCTGTCGCGAAGTAAGAGAAGTGGTTTTCATGGAATGCAGCCATTTCGGCCTATCATACACAAGTTAGCTGAGGGTAATTCAATTGAGCAGGACATGAGAAACAAAACTCACCGCGCTAATTTGAGGGACTTTGATTGAAGATGTGCCCGCCATGACGATGATATTGGACGACGACGACCTCCGTTGGATACGTGACGCGACCAAGAGCTTTCTAAGCTCTGGGCCTTGATTTGGTTCGGTTGAAGATGGACCGAGTGTTGATGAGTGGCCAGGGTCCCGAGTGGAGCTTGGCTCGTGTAACAGCGGTCACGTGCCAGCTGATATCGTGATGAGAGTAAAGAAGTTGATGAGAGCCAGGTGAAGGTATGTTGATGAGTTGCTGGTCGCGTCAGTTCCGGGTGTCGTTATCTTTAGTGGCTTTTTTTTTTTTTTTTGCGGGTGGTTGCCTGTTCGCAGGTCGCTGTGTGAAGTTACTTATGACGGCACACCAGGCAACCACCTATGCGCTTCCTCCCCCATGACTTTTTTTTGTTTCCAACCTACCGCATTAGTAATATTTCTATTATTCTTTGTCAACCTCCCCTATGGATTTTTCTGTTTGATGTTTTACGCTGTTGACGCTGCAGTAGATCCTCCAAAGGGTTGCGAGATGTTAATGCTGTGTGTGTTGTGATATGTGAGGTGTTGCCAGCTGATGCATCCTCTGAGCCCAAAGTTGTTTGATATGATAGCTTGTTCCAAAATCGAGTTAAGATGTTGATATCTCAGTTTTTATGCCGGTTCTGAACACTCAAGGCTGGGTCAAGAGTGCAAGAGCACTTTGGAATGCGCGGACGACCTCTTGGACTGTGAAGAAGTTAGCCAGAATACAGCACTCTGCGAGATTGGGTGACACCCACGATGTTTCTTCTTCTGCAACAAGCTCTGCTCGGCGATCTGGACGTAGCGTTCCCTTGTCTGGAGCCGTTTGACGCCGCGTTCAGTGTCGTGGACTGAGGCTGCTGATGCCCAGACATTGAAGAACTGCACTGGAGTCAGCATTGCTTAGAGATAAGACGGAGAGGGACGGGGGGGGGGAAAGGAGAGAGGAGGAGCTCACCTTGACCAGATCATCAAATTCCCTCAGAAGCTCCTGCTCATCGCGGTCAGCGGCGGCAAGAGCCTCCTCATAACGGGCTTCAAACTCGTCCCAGTCGAACGGCGCCAGATGACCAGGGGTGCTAGGTGATTTCTCGGTCTGGGAATTGGTTCTCTTAGAGCCATTATTGTTATTGTTATTGTTATTGCTGTGGGGCTCTGGCGTTGTGACTTGGAGACGGTCGTTACCCATTTGATGTTGTTGGGGCTTGGACTCGGTGCTCTGCGAAGAGTCTGTCATGGTGATGGTGTGTAGGGATGGAGGACTTTGTCGGGATGCCTCGGCTGATGATGACTGTTGTGGTCTCGGGATAGGCGACTCGGGATGTTCTAGAGAAGAGTGTTTCTGGTTATGAGATAGTTCTTGGCCAGGCGATGAAGGTTCTTCTGATGAGTGTTCCGAAGGTGATGAGGTGTAGTTTTGTGCACTGGCCATGTGAGAATGCTTGGTGTCGAGTGCCTTCTTGAACTTTTCTTTTTGAGGTAATGTGACCGGGCTGATGTTCTGAATCCGATGTCCTGGGCAGAATTGGTCTGTTGCAGTTAGGTTGGGGGGATGTTCTCGTTGAGACTGAGTGAATATCGGTTGTGATGTCTGTTAGTGTAAGAGTTCAGTGACAAGATCTCATCTGGAGAGAACCGGCTACCCTGCTAACAAGACAATGCAGAGCAGAGTCCAAGTAGATCCTTTAAGATCCTCTAAGCTCAAGACCAATCGGAACCACTGTGTCCTGGTCCACTGCTCAGTAGATTGAAGGCTGCTTTATGACGTCGCCTCTTGAGAGGATGTTTCTTGTTAAAAGGATGAATCTGTTTTAACGTTCATAGGCGCGTCGCGAGAGCTTGAGTGGATGCAGGACAGCGTTGGGCCGTTTGCAGGGGCGTGCTGAGGTCGCAAAAGCCAAGCTTTGGAGACTAATTGGCGAGGACGGGCGCCGATTGGTCGAGACTGGACTGGCATGTGGGGAGCTGGGGCATGTGGCCTGGGCGTTGGCAGGCTGCAGCGGGCGATAAGATGGTGAAGCCGGGAGCAATAAGTTAAGTCAGAGCAAGCCGTTGTCTGTGATGTTGATGTCTTTCCATGCAAGTTTCCTTGCCAGATTTTTTTTCTTTTGACTTGAGATTTATGTCGCGAGAATCGACGCGAGACAGCAAGCAAGCCTGGGCAGCTTTTTTTGATACTTTGTTTATGAGGGCATCTTCGAGGTGAATCGGGATTCCAGCGTCCTGTTCTGGATCCTCCGAGGCCGGGAACTGAGAAGGCCACCAACGACTGGATGGTTGATCGTCACGTATCATCAATTATCAGTTGGTTTTGAGTGACTGAAACTGGAGAGTTTCTGAGATTCGGATATTTAAGACACCGCCGCGTCCCTTGCAGGCTGCTTGCTTTCTTACTCAGGGCTCCTGCTCGCGCATTTCCTTTTTATTATTTCGATCACCGCTGCAACCTGGAAACTTCAACAGTTAGAGTACCAACAAGGCCATGCCAACATGAGGTGCGATATCTGTCATCGCCCCCATCACACCAAGAGGTTGCCATTTCTGTGCGCAGTCGACGCGCGGAACCGCCTGTACGAGGGGCGACTCGAGTATGCCAGGGCGCTGATCCAGGCCGAGGAAGCCGAGAGCCGAGTAAACGATGCTCTCGAGAAAGCTGCCGCTGCTCGGGATCCAAAGTCGAAGCTGAAGAAGGATGAGAAAGACGTTGCGGCGGCCCGGATCGCCTGGCTCACCGCCGAAGAACAGGCTGCACTCGAACGGACAAGTCACATCATTGCCCAGGCCGACAAGCTACGGAGCGAGATCGAGGCTGCGCGTAAGGAGATTGCCGTCAAGAAGGACGCCATCGCTCGTCGCAGGTCGGACCTAATGGCTGTCACTGCGGGCACTGTGTCGAGACGTGCCCGGCAGCTGGACGAGGTCGAGCGGTCCACACAGAGACTGCGGTATAAGTGGAATCGGATTGCCGATGCCACGGCCATAACAAGAGCATTTTTGTGTGAAGAAGCTGCGAGATTGTATGGGCTGCGCCAAATTGAGGAGGGCAGCGCTAAGCGGTACGAGATTGGAGGCGTCGAGCTGTTTGATCTCCATACCATGAATGGTGAGTGAGTCTGCTGGCTGTTTTGCGCTACTGCTGCCGCCAAAGAGAAAGTCGTCGGTGAGGAGAAGTGGTGCCGATGATTAGACATCAAGATTAAGCATCGAGATGTTTGGTGTGTGTGTGTGTGTGTGTGTGTGTGTGTGTATGTGGTGTATCCTCGATCTCTGGCTGATGTTGTTGGACACAGGGTTGTCGCCCGAACTGATATCGACCTCGCTTGCGCACGTAGCGCATATTCTGGTCCTCGCATGCGATTATCTGGCCATCCGGTTGCCGGCCGAGATCACGTTACCACACAAAGACTATCCGCGGCCGACCATCTTCTCGCTCTCATCGTCGTATAAACATGACAAAGTTATTTTCCCAGGTTCAGCACTCGCGATTCAGCAGTCAGCAGCCGCAGCAGCAGAGGACAAGCGGCTGCCGCGTCCGCGCCCCTTGTGGACTGATAGACCGCTTCCGACGCTGGCGAAGGATTATCCTGACGTATACTCGTATTTTCTGGAAGGGGTTGCGCTGCTGGCGTATGACATCGCGTGGGTGTGCTGTTCTCAGGGCGTTTCCCTAGGTGACGGGGATCCATTCGAGGAGGTGTGTGCTATCGGGAAGAATCTCTGGCGCTTGCTCATCGCTGGGAAACATCACAATGCACATCAACCTCATAAAAATCGGCGACGCTCGCCCGAACCGGCTCCTTATTCGCCTTTATCTGGAAACAGTCCCAGGACCGAAGATATAGCGGGTGAAATGGCAAACCCGAAGTCGTCGACATCTACTCTTGGTCGTTGGTCTCATGGAACATGCCATTCTTATCTGGGGACTGCCGAGGGTATGGAATTCATCAGGAGCTTCAAGCTGCTTTCGCCATACAAGATATATGATAAGCTGAAACGACGGCTGTCGGCGGACGCGCCATTGATGGATTGGGAGAGGATTGAAGGCGATGAACTTGATGATGGATTCGAGGATGGCATGCTGGGCCGTATTGAAGCTGGCGGCAACTCTGCTGGAATGAATGCGGGAAATGGGCCGCCAGATATTCGTCTCGATCGTGGTAATGGCGGCGGCGGTAGTAGTCATGGTGGTATCGGCATCCCTAAGGGTACTAGTGGCTGGACGAAGCTGAGAAATCGGTAGAGGGGATTTCCCGTAGAGAATTACGGCTTGCAATACCGAAGTGGTTTAGTGAAGAAGACTAACTCCAAGATTCCGCAGGCGATGAGCAAAAGCCTGAATGCCTTCTGCTGGCCCTCCACTACTCTTACCCATTCTGTCCTAAGTGCGAGGATTGCCAGCCAGAAGTGAGAATAAGCAAAGAGTACTTTCATCAGCCCCTTCATCTTTTTAGTCGTTGTTCTTCCCACCAAAAGACAATCATGACGAAGACAAGGTCAAAGTCCAGATATTTCAGGTAAGAAAAGAGCTCAATGCCTTCTGTTGACCCTCCGTTACCCTACCCATTCTATCCAAACCATTCTATCCAAAAGAAGTAGAATCTCCAGCCAAGATAATACTAAGCAAAGAGTCTCCCTTTCTACCTTTTATCCTTCTTTTTGCCCGTTGTCTCCTCCCAGCTCACGATTGTCCTCATTCGTTCAGCAAGAGAATTCAGCAGGAGGGCTCAAAGTGAACGGAAGGGGCTGTGAGGGGGTGTGCTGGTATCAAAAAAAAACTGTGTGAGATCAAGGGAAAAGTCCAATGCTGTTTTCCTAGACACTCCATTATTCTAAACCAATCTCTGAAGATATGGTCAGGTTGATGTGTTTATATAATGAAATAATTGGCTGTACCTGATGCAACCAGCACAACTTTGATTCCTGCACCAGTGAAGCACACCAGATAAATGCTCACGACCTGCCTCCTGACGACAATGGACCGGACTTCTCGCTGATCCGGAGGTATTCAACAGCAGGCGGCACCTCGACTACGGCTGCTGGCTTATAAGCCCAACAGATGCTGATATAAAAGGTTGTCGTCGAGGCGCCGTAGAGGAAGAGTCAATGCCCCCCCCCTCAGCTCCCGGAACAAGCACCGAAGAGAAAAGGGAAGGAGAGGAAAGGAAGCAACAAAAGCAGCAAGTAACAAAGCTTAGCTCCGCGGAACGGAACGGAGGGGACAGAGCCCGCTGGGACATTGACGGCGGTATCGGGGAGTGCGCTAACCTTCAGGTGTCGCTCTAGTTGTCCACGTCATTACTGACAAGACTCGGCCCGGGCTTCCTCCTTCTCAACCTCCCCAGCCGGTGTGGCCATGGCGACCTGGGACCCGCCGGAGACATTCTGTTACGCACACCCCTGTTGAGCCTTCCCCCCCCCCCCCCGCGACACGAAGAGCAACAGCAGCGCGCCAGACGGCCTCTCATTCAATGTCGTCCTCGTCCGAGAAGTCCGAGTCGTTTCACATTCGGCGACACTCTTCATTTTCTTCCTCCTCCTCCTTCGCCACCAGGGAGGCCTGCTGCTGCTACTGTCACTGCCCGCTGCGCCGTTAACACTCTCCTTCGTCACGCTGGCTTCGTACCCTCGGGGACATCTCTAGTTTTCCCTTCGTTGACCACATCCGATCAAAGCCAATACCTCTTAAGACTACGACAAGGTCACGGTCCTTGGTCTGGCCTGCTTTCTTCTGGTTTGTCTGGCCTCAGTAACCCCTGGGCCCGGAGAATGGTAATGGCACGCAACAGAATGCGAAAGATGGGATTGATGAGGAGGAAAAATATCAGGGACGCGCAAGGACGTTGTGAAGACACAAAGGGCAAATCAAGAGTTTTGTGTTGCAGTTTTGGACATAAGGCGAATCATGTATGACAGAGAAGGATCACATGAGAAGTGATTGTTGACTCGATAAATTTGAAGGAAACACATGATGATTCCAAGGAATGGGGCAGAGGGCCAGGACAGGACAAAAGGGGGGAGCCTCAGTCGATGGATGTGGATGTGAACTGTCCTGGGGCTTAGAAGCTTGCTGTACTGAAGGAGCTCGAAACGTGCGCCAAGGGCAAAGAGGCAATATATATACATATATATACCATCAAACCTTGGGTAAGTCAAGGCAACCATGACGGCCAGACAGACCAGACTCGGTGTGCTTGTGAGCAAGCTAGCATCATGAACTTGAATTCCACACTAACTCCCCACATCACGGGGTCCATGAGTCGACAAGGTCAAAGAGCTAACTCCAAGCTCCCCGAGACGGAGGAAAGCTGGGCCGATAAGGACGAGATCGATGACATGCCCTTGGCGAGACACGACAGAAAGCCCAAAAGGGCAGCGGGGAACTCGATGACGGCGCTGTCTGTGAGCAAGTGCCAGCTAAAAACTGTTCTTAAGCTACACACAGAACGTCAAATGCCGCTGCCCGCAAAGAAAACCCGAGGAGGTTGGCTCTAGAGATACTCCGAGAAGCATCGGGGGCGACGCGGGGTGATAGAGCAGTGCGGTAGAGCAGTGCGGCAGGAAGAGTCAACACATGCCGCTCGACGCTCTGAAGAGAGGGGTGTTACTTTTCGGTTCAGTGGACAAGCCGAGTGGGAAATGAAGTCGTTAAGCTGGGAAGTCCCGGGCAGCAAAGACGACACGAAGGCTAATCAGAGTCGAGAATTTCGCCTAATTTTTGGTTTTGTGGACTTCCGTGCCCCCCCGTGGGCTTCTGTCATAATCCTGCGAGGGCGGCATGGTTTATGATTTAATCTGCGCGTTTATATACCTTAGATGGGCTTGTACTGTCATCTGGGCAGCCGTCAATACGGGATCGGCACGTTCTTTGACGCTATAGTCATGAAACGACAGTGGGTAGCATACTGATCCGTGGCTCAGCATTCCATGGAATAAGATAATCACGAAAATTAATTCCTTTCTGAAAGTTATAATGACATTGATCTTCAAGTTTTTGAGTTCCCTTCAAGATCATTCTGTCTTGCGGGCACTGAGTAACTGTCTGCAATGCGTACATCGCATATAAAACAAGATTGTGGTGCTGAAAGGACAAAGACATCATCATCACAGCACTGATTGTGCAGATTTAATTCCATTGATCCATGCAATTGCTATCTCAATCATCTCCATTTCATCGTCGGTACTTGCCCCAAAACTACAAGATCGCGATTCTGTTGGAGCAGTGTTTGGAAGGCGGACACTCCCAATTCCCATCCACAGCCAATCACCTAGCCATTCCGATCTCGACCTCACTCTAGAGCTACAAAAAATAGTGGCTGATTTTATACTGCTGATGAAAGTCAGTTTTGCTAATTTTTGGAACCAGAAAGTGTCTGAAAATCATCCTCCCCAGTAGTACTGACGTAGAGTCAGGTTGGTGTCTGCGTGAAACGAAATTGCTACCCTTAGGCTAATTTTTCCAAAAGATAAATGCACCTCAGCAACCTTTACCAATTCCCTACGGATATTGAAATTTCTAGACATATATCATCTTTTTCTGTTGCGTTGTTGCCGAGTGTTTGCTCACCTTGCCCAGCAAAACATGGCATGTCGTCGTGATGCGTCAGGGGTAAAAAAAAGTTGGCATCGTCCTAACCCAAACACTGGCCCCACAAGGATGGCAGAACATATACATCTTGATGGGGACCAAACTTGCAGCAACTTTGCAAACAGAAAAAAAAATTACATTTCTGCGCTTTTCTATAGGTTGACAAGTTACAGAGCAGTTAACAAGATGTACGTCGTCGCCATCACCGGTGACACTGTCTGGGGGTGGCTCTGAGTTTTCCGTCTCCAGGGCAACGCGCCAAGAGCTGAGAGCGTGGTTCATGCTTGGCTACCACCGGGCCTGAGGAGGCCCCGCGAATCGCCAAACGGTTGCGACGGGCGCCGGCGTGGAACGCAAATTTAAGGAAGATGTGTTTTCCGGGCAAATTCTACGTCCTACTTCTGGTTTTCCTTTTGCAGGTATGCGCGGCGTGTTGAGGTGGTAGACGATCGTAGAGAACACAAGTTGGGCTGTAGCAAACCCTAACCCGTGGGAGTGCTGGATCAAGAAAGCCGCAAATTTGAGCGATCGGCTGCGATCGCGAGGGGAGAGAGCGACGAAACACCGGCAAGTTAAGAAACCGTAAATATAATGAGAAAAAAAATTCGCGATTCATTCTTTGAGTTCAAGTAATTCTTACATGTCCAGTCAACTCAAAAGAGTTTCTTGCAGAACCGCTCTTCCGAATGCAAGCCTGATGTAGGAGCAAAAGATGATGACGGTCGCTTTCATCAACGAAACGGGCACCTGTCGACATATTTTCCATCTTCATGAGTATCGAGTGCGATAATTCGTTACTGTAGAGTGTCAAATATTTCCCTTGAATTAGAGTGAAGGCCATTTTCTCCGTTCTAGTTCCTTAGCGGTGTCGAGAGTGTCAAAGATTAATAAGCCAAGATGATCACTAAAGTCCATTATGATGAGAGTGGCTTTGTCAAGGGCTCCGTTGTCTACTACTTGATGCTGTTGGTTTTCGTTCTGGTTTCGCCAGGATTTCTGCTCTGCTTACGTTAATCGACTACGTATATGCTACTTAAGCTTACTCTGTAGTAAGGAAAACATCCTGAATGCATTTTGCCATAACGCATGAAGTCTGTATTACCACACATTGCCTAGATCCAATATCTTGCTGTTTATTATCTACATCGTGCGCAAGTGTAAAGAATTTTTGGCTGTCTTGCGCTTGATACCCACAACAAGGGGCCAAAGAGGTCTGGCGCATTTTGTGCCATCTCATGAGATGTACACAAATACAAAAAAGCAACCGATTTTTGGCACGAAAATAGACTTGGAAATATCCCCTTTGGAAAAGGGGCAGCCAAAACGTGTGGTGGTGACACCGGCAAAAGTGTGTGCCCAGTAACAGGATTGAACTGTTGACCTTCGCATCACTTGATATAGCCGAGAAGCTATATTAGTACGACGCTCTAACCAGCTGAGCTAACCGGGCTTCGGTGGATTATGGGTCCCAAGGATCTCTTGATGACGGTAAGCAGCAGTGGACGGTTGTGGGCCTCGGGTCACTTCAATACTCGACTCAACGGCGGAAGTGTCTCTACTGCTTACTGAAGGGAGGAGCATAATGGGAGATTCGTTGAACCATCAAAATTTCCACTTCCACGCGTAACATTGGAGCCAGACGTCCCAGTTACCCCCCTAGGCTTGTACATTGACACCGGGGAAGTCGCTAGTTAGTAATATCCAGCAGTGAAGACAGCATGATCGTGCCTTCCTCAAGCATTCCCTTTTCGGTAGGGAAGGGACGACCCAGCAAATTACCTAGCATATCGGTATTTCTTGTATGGCAGATCATATTTCTTTCCAGCGTTGACATCACTGTCGTCGCGTTGAACCAACTCACCGAAAAGGCACATCATCCAAGCCACCACGCTCACCACTCACGTCTCACTCATCATGGTTGTGCCAAAAAGTACAACTTGTATCGATGACAGAAAGTTCATCGGCCAGACCGCTGGGTGGGAAGTGCATCCGGCTACGGATGCCCATAATTGCCCCGGGTTTTTCTTCGCCGGCGGCAGGCGCCGGGGGTCGTGCTAAACCAGCCGGGGTCCTGATCAGAGGGGAAGCGTCCCATGCGTAGCACTTGTAAGGGTTCCCGCGGAACTATTATAGCCCGAGAGAAAGAGATAGGGTGCTAATTTTTTTTTTTTGATTCGCGGGAAACGCTAAGCGGGAGACGGGGCGTGGAGCAGGTGCTGGTCAGGGGAAGGCACGTGAGGAGGACAGAGGGGCTTCGGTAACGGAGACCTGTTGACAGGGAGGGTTGGATCTCATCTTTTCGACCAAGTAAGGACTCTGACGATCGCGCAATGTAGAGAGAACACCAATTCTCAACTACCATGTGGTCTCATCGTCGTCGCCGTCGTCGATAGCACAAATCACAGTCACACAGCCATGCTGTCATCGTCAAAGGGTAGAACTTGACTCTACTGCCCGTAAACGATCCCATCAGCATCAGGCTATGACTATGAAGTTTATGTCTGACTCTCGTATCGGTTCACTCTTGTGTTTGCGGGAGGAGTTGCACACCCCATAGAGACAAATCTGCAAGTGATGCCCCGGCACTGATGATCTCAGTCGGGTTGAATATCAAAACAAGAAGGCGCCATCTATCTGGGCTTTTACACAGCTTTTTCCGTTCCATTTGAACTTAGGCGGTCGTTCAGCGAGGTATGCTGCCGCTCAGCAAATAATATAAAGTACATTGGGTGATTAGAGTTACATTTTTTGCCAAACTCCGCTTTACTGAGGACGTCGAGGGTTATTAACATCTGGAGCTGATGGTCAAAACATCATTCCTTGCTCTTGATCCTTTGATACCCCATGAACAGTAAAGCAAAGCTGCGCTGTTCATTGGCTGTGATAGTCATGTTATATCTCATATAGTCTCAGTTTCTCGCCAGAAGAGGAACAGCATCCTGTCATTGCTCTTATCGGGACGTAACTGGGTAGCTCAAAGGCCCAAAATAGAACCGTTCCTCGCTATTTTCCATCCTACTTTGAAAACTATCTGTGAACGGATTTTCTTGATATAGATTTGGGTGATATTGACAAACAAATATCATGCCCTACGCATTTCGATCCCAACCATAACCACAGTCCAAATCTTCCAGTAACATTCGATCCTCTTTCTAGTCTACCGTTTCCATATAACCCAATGGAAAATCTCTAACCGTCGGATTATCACTGGAAGAGCCGACAAAATCCTTGAGAAGACGTATGCAAGTTGGGCAATTAAAGTCCCATATCAGCAGGCTTCGTCACAAGGATGTATCCTTGGATCCAAAACTTTGCCTTTACACAAGTGTTCAGACTTCCAACGTGTTACTCGAGTACAGGCTCCTGGCACACGACTTCTGTCAAAGTAAACTGGATCATCAGACATATACCAAGCCAGTTCACTCCTTTTGTTTGCGTAGTAAAAATGGATGACGAGTAGAGAAAGTCGAGCAAGTATATAAAACAGGACACTCAAAGCAAGAGCATACAAAAGTTTTACCTCCCGAAAGCCTTACGTGTTGGACGATGTGATGCTCCTGATCTGGCTCACCACTACATATCACTTCCACTGCTTCCTTTAGTTCTTGACCAGCCGGAGGGAAAAAAAAAAAAAAAGTAATCTCAAACCGCCTTATACCGAGACGCCTCATTTGCATCCACCCAGTCTCACAATCCAGGACAGCAAACTGAACCAAACAATGCTATTTCCATGCAATACTACGTTGATTCGATACGAACAAACTCCCAACCCATTCAATCCGTCCGTCCCGGGTATCGACACAGCCTACCCATCATCCTATCCATTCCTAATGATATGATACAAACCCGTCACCCCCGTTTTCTATCCTAGGTCTTTCCCGACCCACTTCATCTCCAGTGACCCAAGGAAGAACAATAGTGGGAAAATGTCCACAGCAAGAGACAGCCAACACAGAACAACCTCCTTAGATAATCCCCCACACTCGACATCATCCTGACAATCCCCCAACTAACCATCAACCTCCATCGGTTCCCCTTCACTAACCCCAGCATTCCTAACACTACTCCTCCTCCCCTTCTTCCCCGACCCCGACCCCGATCCCGATCCCGATCCCCCCAACAACCTCTTCCTTAGAACCAAAACCGCTTCATCCCATCCTTTATCGTCATCTACCGTCAAACTCTTCCCCACTCTCGCCCTCAAGAACTCCACCATCCCGCTCTTAACAAATCCCTCGCCATACACCACCTTCGCGTCAGGCTCAACAGACACATCAGGGAAGTCATCGGTGCTGGAAGGGGAGAGGGAGAGTTTGAAAAAGACTTCGACGCGTGTACGTAAAGTCGGGAGGAGAATGGAGGATGTTACGATCGCTACCGCCACTGCAGAGTCAGAGTCTTCAGAAGAAGAGGGGGTGATAACTGCCGTAGTGGTAGGAAAACTGAGCCTCAACCGGCGGACATACTCCGCCACTTGCAAGGCGCGGTCCCAACCCGCCGCGACGACTGCGATAAGCCGTTTTGGATCGGACCATGGTGCGTGTCGCGCGATGTGTGCGCGGAGGTGATGCAAGAAAAAAGCTTTTTCCGGTGGGGGAATTGTGTCCGAGTGGAGGAAGTCGATTGTGGGGGTTGTGCTGGAGGGGGAGACGATGTCGAAGGTGAGGGTGAGCTCACGCTTGTAGCGCAGGGTGAGGAGGGCGTTGTTGGTGATGCGCAGGACGGCCCAGCCGTGGTGACGTTCGATGGATTCTGTTTTTGCTTTGGGGGGTGTTAGTAACAGAATACAAAAAAAAAAAAAGCGGGCGGAGGAGGGAAGGGGAAAAAAAAAGGGCTTACCCTTAAGCTTAGCAATCTCCCCCGCCGACCAACCGCGATACTGCTCCCGTATCCTATCCGCCTCACGGATCTCCTCCAGATACTGCTGCTTCTGCTGGGTAAGCTGCTCAATCTTCTTATCCGATTCCTCCAACTCCCTACGCATCTCCTCCAACTTCTTAGCCTTCTCCTGTATAGCCTTATCCACAGCCAGCAGTTCATTCCTTGCATCCTCCAGATCCTTCGGATCGGTATCCGCCAGCTCCTGCGCCACAGCCTCAAGATTATCCTTTTCCGCTTCGAGCTCGTTATACCGCTTGACCATGTCCGGCAGGACAGACGCAATGAGCTCCTCCTGTCTCTTGAGAAGCTTGTCATCGTTGTCCATCCCCTCGGCGGTCTTAAGGAGGCCTTCCTTGAGGCCTTCCATGAGCTTGGTGCGCCACTCGTACCACATCGCTTTGCTGAGCAGCCGGGCGTGAGTTTTTACGTTCTTGAATTGGTTGTCCATAAGGGCTTTGACTTCTGGAGTGGCATTCATGTACTCGCGGAAGAGGGGCGGGTTATCTTCGTAGGTTTCGACCTCAATTTCTTTGATGATGCGTCGCCCTTCGGAGATGTATTTTTTGAGTTCGCGACAGGCCTGGGTGTGTTAGTCGGTTTCTTGAGTTCAGGGGTGATACAGCAGAACTTACATGCTGATACATCTCCAACTGGGGGACAATACACGCCCCAGCGACGACACACCGCTCCAGAGAGACATCCTTCGGATCAGGGGCACCTCCATCTTTGGACGCATTAGGAGCCGTCGTATGCCTCCTCTTGGTCGCCGTGAGCTCCATGAAATGAATCCCCGTCATATTCAAGAAATCCTGCAGATGAATCCGCTGCTCGCCATCCCCAGCAGCCGCCTGCTGCACTTCAGCCTCATTCACAGCCCCGTGATGCTGCTGCAGATCCATAGTCGGCGGCTGCTGATGATCATCCACGCCCCTACCCTTCGACGTTGTCGCTCTCTGGGGCGAATTCGGCACCATCGGCGTGGTCGCATCTCCTCCCGGCATTATACTCTGCCGTGTCCTCCTCCCCGACGGCGACCCAAGCCTAATATTCTTCACCGGACTCCCCTGTACGCCCTTCAACCTCTTCACCCCATCCATTAACTCCTCAGACCCCTCTTCATCCTCTTCATCCATATCCAACTCCTTTGGCCTCTTCCCTAACAACCCAACTGCGCTCCCCACATGTAAACTCTTCCTGCCCCTCAATGGATTATTTTTCTTCGGACTCAGCCCCGAAATCATCTCCCTAATATTTTTCCCTTCCATCTCCTGATCCTCCTTCTCCTTCTCAATCTCCTCCTCCATAACCCTTGGGTCAGTAAACGCCACCATCCTCTTCCCACCCGCACCTGCGCCCGCCCCACCCGGCACGCCAACGGTCGTGGGGACAAACTCCTCCGCCGCCTCACCAATCGACGACCTTCGATCAATGATCTCTGCAACACGGGGGGATCCTAGACCCGGGCGGTCTGCGCCTTGCCCGGAGAGACGGCGGCCTTGGGGGGTAAGGATCACGCGTGGTGTGTTCAAGCCGGTGTGAGGGTCCTGGCGGAAGAGCTTGGATTGAGTCGTTGCGCGGGGTGTGGTTTTAGCGGGGGAAGGGGAGAGACGCATGGGGGAGCTGGAGCCGGTTCGGCGGGGGGAGCTGCGCGTAGGGCTTTGTCTCTGCCTTGGCTTTGCGGCGGTTCGTTGGGGGGAGGGAGTTTGCCGCATGGGGGAGCTGCTTGGTTGGGCGGATTCCCTGCCGGGAGAGAGGGCTCGAGGGGGCGTGCGACGCAGGCCTTTGCCTTGGAAGGCGGCTAGGCTGTTGTCGGGTACAGTCTGTGAGGATTGAAGCTTGGGATAGGACACGGGCTTCTCGGCCGGAGTCGGGGCTACAGAGGCCGGCTCGCTGCCCTCGCGATCCATGCCCTTTCTAGCTGGCGTCCTGGCCTCGGGTGTGGCAGATGGTTTGATGATGCCCCCGACTGCGGTGGTCATGTCCATGCCGGTCTCCTCCATTGGCTCATCTTCCTCTTCATCATCTTCACCTCCCGGCAGGAGCCTGCTGACGCCAGTGAAATCCATCATTGTATCGTTGTCGTCAATGTCGGCGGCCATTGTGCGTCTACGAAAGTTTTGCGCATTGCTGAGGAAGTTGGCCCCCAGAAGACCACCAACGGCAGCCGTGAATTCCATGGACATCTCTTCGTTAGCGTCGATCTCGGCTTGGGTGCCGTCCGAGGAGGGATGTTTGGCAGGAGAATCACGGATGCCGCCGACGGCGGTGGTGAACTCCATTGTCTGTTCGCCATTCTCGCTGCCTTCTGACTGGGGGTTGTTGTCGGGCAAGAAGGACTTGCGGCGCAGGAAGGCCTTGGCTTTGTCGAGGATGCCGCCGAGGGCTGCGGTTACGTCCATGGACATGCCCTCATCCATCTCCTCATCTTCGTCCTCCTTGGGAGGTGATGGCGCCTTCGAAGCGGCGTTGGCATTGGTGCTCAGGATCTTCCCCATAGCGTTGGTCATGTCCATCTCCATGCCGGTTTCCATGTCCATCAGGTTGGAACCGCCATCTTCAGCCTTATCCTCATGATTATTCGTGCTTGCCGGCTCACTCTCTTTAGCCCCCTGACTGCTCGTGATATTCTCCCGGTGCTTCCGACCCCAGCCAAACCCGGCAATGGCTTCCTCGTCGTCGTCGAGTGTTTGGAGCGTTGCCCTCCGCACAGCAAGCCGCAGATTCTCCTCCAAGCTATCGTCGAGGTCATCATCATTAATAGTAGCCCGGCGCGGCGGCGACGCCAAGGAGGCGAACGACATCTCTTCGGCTGACAATACGCTGGTGCCATCATCCTCCGTCTGGTCTCCCGCTCCGCTCTCCGAATCATTACCCGTCGTAGACCCAACCCCTGAACTCCGTCTTCTCCTGCTATCAGCCGGGGACTCTTCTGAATAATCATGGGAACGCTCGTTCGGCGTCGAAGGATCGGCATCAGAGCTAGGATGCTGCCCAGGAGACTGCGAAGCAACGGACGACGCGCGACGGGACGATTCCGTGGACGTAGTCGAATCCTGCATCTCAATCTCATGGAAGGTGTGCAGGGTCGCCTCCGCGGCAAAAGACACACGGCGGTTAGCCAGCGACTTTCGCCTGGCCTCTCTGCGCTCGGCGATCTCCCTCTCCAGGGCGGCTCGCTCCCGCTCTTCCCGCTCGCGCGCCGCCGCCTGCTGCTCCTCTTCGGTGCGAAGCGCCACCTTAGTGCCTTCGCCTGGCTTCGGTCGGTATGCTGGGATATCTGGGAGGGGCGGTAATGTGGGCTTCAGGATCGACTTGGGCGGCGGTCCTGTGAAGACGGCGAGGGACTGGAACAGTGTCAGCATCTTGCCTCTGACTCCCACAGCCTGAGTCCCTTCGGTACAGGCGCACTCACAGCTCTGCGGTTCCCCGTCCCCGACTTCAGGGCGTCAAACCCTCCTGGCCCCATACTCTTGCTGCGCGACTTCTTACGCGCGGCCGCCATGTCGCTGGATTCGCTGGTCGCGTTGTCCTTGTCTCGTCTAGTCGCCGTCGTAGGGGCTACTGCAATCGATTTGCGCGATCGCCGCGTCGGCGGCGGCGCAGCGTCACCGTGCGACGCCATTGTTCAGACCATTGATTGAGTGTTGTGCCCTTGAAATATGCTGTCGAGAATATCGAGATGCCGTCGTCCTGGGCTCGACGCGGTCCGAGTTCCAAAACCGCGACGGGGACCGTTGCCCTGCACACGGCAGAGGGGGCGCCTGTTTACAATGGCCGCCGTCATCTGATTGGCTGGGCTGAAGTCAAGTTCAGCAAGGTACGTACCAATGGAGCCCCATAAGGTCCACTCCTATGTGGCTGGTGTGGCTGGTGCACCCTTGGCAGCCGGCGGACCCAGCGCAATCTCAGAGAAATGGGTGGGGCAACTGTGGCGCCTGCACACTTTTCCATTGGAGCCACCAAAAATCAATCTCACACTGGCAAAATTCCGGGGCTGCGATTTTGGACTTGGAATCTCCGTCAACCACCCGGAGCCTCGACACAGCACATCAAGGCCACGCCAGACCCGACAAAATGGCCACCGAACTGACCGTCCAGAGCGAGCGTGCTTTCCTTAAGCAGCCGCACAGTGAGTTTCCCTCGAGGCTGCTTCTCGGGCCGGCTGCGAATAAAAGATTCCGCAACATTACAGACGCTGACGACGACATTTTGCAGTCTTCCTTAACTCCAAGGTCAAGGTCAAGTCCACCCGGCCGGGCAAGGGCGGCCGGAGATGGTACAAGGACGTTGGTCTGGGGTTCAAGACCCCCAAGACCGCCATTGAGGGCCACTACATCGGTATGTTTCCAACCACACGCGCCCGCGCGATTGCATATAGACCTCCCAGGAACCCGAGCGACGCGCCTCGAAGACACCCCGACGAGATCGATATGTTTCGCCGACCCGCGGGAATCGATGTGTTTTTGTGTTGTGTCGCGAGGAGAAACGGGAAGGGCACATTTTTTTTTGGCGGGGCAAGGAAAGAGCAGATGGTTGACAGGTTGTGTTTTTGACATACAGACAAGAAGTGCCCCTTCACTGGTATGGTCTCGATCCGCGGCCGTATCTTGACCGGCCGTGTCGTTTCGACCAAGATGCACCGCACCATCATCATCCGCCGCGAGTACCTTCACTACATTCCGAAGTACAACCGTTACGAGAAGCGCCACAAGAACCTGGCTGCTCACGTCTCTCCCGCTTTCCGTGTTGAGGAGGGCGACATGGTCGTCGTTGGCCAGTGCAGGCCTCTGAGCAAGACTGTATGTCCGAGCTGATGCTTCTGTGTTGTTGGGGTCTTTGCTGACGCTCGCAGGTCCGGTTCAACGTTCTCCGTGTCCTCCCCCGGACCGGCAAGTCGGTCAAGAAGTTCCAGAAGTTCTAAAGGGTTGGCGGGGGCGTTTCTCATTTGGGCATTTCTGGCGCGGTTTTGCTTTGACTCGGGACTTGAGTTGTCATTTTCAGAAAGAAACGGGAAACTGGCCGGCAGGGTAAAAACACGACGACCTTGAACTGCTCCGGAAAGACATGGCATAAAATATGTCTGGTAAAGGCAGTTTCATTCTGAAATGAGATCCGCCACGTGAATCTCTATTGACGAGGCAAAACGAACGCTTACCTCTATGATACCCGAGGCCGCGGGCGTCTCTACCCCTCAAGTCTTGTACGTTAGGCAAGATATGATGAGCTGGCCGAGGCCCTGATAGCGCCGAATCAACTGCCAAGTCTTCGGGGGTCTGGACTTTGTGAGGTTGACGTTGGCTGCCAGTATTGATGTGTATGATTGATTGGGTGACCATCCTGAACCCCCCTTCACCCTCTAATCCCTTCCTCCTCCCTCCCTCATCCTTCGAATTACACCGGTGATGTGCTGTCACTTAATGATAGCAGGAGCATTGGCTGCCTATTGCAAGTCATGTCTCTTAATGGAACACTGGAAGATTAGTAAGTGTCCTTCGTTTGCAACACATCCAAGGTGTAATAAGGCCCCTTTGTTTAGACCTCTTTTTGCCCTCGGATAAGAGGTCATCTCCGCAATTAGGTTGGTTAGTATGGGACAAGAGAAGTCCTCGGGATATTTCGTCTGTTGGGTAGAATCGGTGTTGATTTTATGTGCTTTGGTTACCATGAGATATGATCTTGGGTGGATAGACTGGCTGGAATTAAGATGTGTTTGCCTTCGTATGCTGGTAACTTCATGGTTGGCATTTTTGTATGAATAAGTGGTTATGAGTCTTATCCAGCATCTGCCCGCTGCAAGCACCTACCTACTATTAACTGGATGCATCCTTCTATCCCTTCAGAACTCTCCTCAAAGCTGGCCTGACTGCTCTGTAGTACTGTGAGTACAAGATGACAGATTCTTCTTTGCTTAAATGTCTCTTCACATCAGCTTAACCCTCATACAGCAAAAGGACTGGGTACCTGATGGCCCTGATACACTTGCTTCAAATTGATACCGTAAAGTTTCCTTATACGGCTCAACTACAGACCAGTTCAAGGTCGGACAATATATAGCATTTCTTATACAGTCTACACCATGCTCAGTTTACTAACTTTTTACTTCTTTGCTTTGTTTGAATCCACAAGATGCCTCTTGCTTTGTAGTAACATCGGAACTTGACATCTCTCACTTATAAAGTATAAAGGGGGACTTGCTAAAACAAAAGACGTGTATAACAGCTTCATGTACGTACTATTATGATGAACGAGCCAAAGCTGTTCAGGAGAGTAAGCTTAAAAGCATACATTTCTTTCTTTCTTTCTTTCTTTCTTTCTTTCTTTCTTTCTTTTTCATGATCATCATTCCTCCTGTTTCAAAGCTATGGATTCAATACTAGGCATAAATAATCTCATACTTGATTCACCCCATTAAACACACGAGCCTATAGGTACTCGTACTCACACACACACACACACGATAACAAACGACACCCACGCAACTAAACACACGCTCATAGACTTAAGGAAGATACCATTACATATCGAATCTTCCCTACCAACTACCTTAATAACCTTTCCCGCCCCCTCCGTCCACACCCCCCTCCCCACCCTCCCAACCAACATAGCGTCTAACCTAGCCTACCTTACCCTAGCTACTTTCATACCCCTCCCAATCCAAAAACCTCCTACACTAGGTACCGTAGGCGTACCTAACTAACATCCCCCCCTCCCTCAACCCCACCTTGTCCCACCGCAGCGTTCGCAGCCTCAACCCCCTCAAATGCCTCCCCAAACGCGCTTTCCTCTCCCCCAACCATCATATCCATATCCTCCTCATCTTCCAGCCTGCCTCCCTCATGATCATCCCCGTTTTGGCTGCCACTCCCCGCAGCAGCAGCCTCGTATGAAGCAAGTGCGTCACCTGCCGTGTCGAGGTCCGCAAAGTCCGTCTCAATGAGGGCGGTTGAGCCGGGGGTGGGGGCACCGCCTGGGCCGGTGGCGGCGGGGGTTGTGGCCAAGGGAGCCGTTGCGGGGGCAGCTGGGGGTTGGGTAATGTTGGAAGGGCCCGGGGCAGGGGGAATCCCCTCCTTGCCGACAACGACCCAGTCTCCTTCGCCTGAGCTGATGCCCTGTTCTGTAGCAGTTGTAGCCTCCTTAGCCGGGACAACAGCAGCTGGCTCAGTCCCACCCATCTGGACATCCTGCTGCTGTTGAACCTGCGCAGCAGGAACACCAGCAGTCGGAGGAACCGGATTCGGTGACGAGACACTCACGACCCCCGGGGTCGCGGCACTAGACGGGATACTCGACACCGGTAAATGAGCCTGCGGGGTAGGGAAATTATTCATTGGAGTCGAGGTGGACGAGAAGCCGGCGGAAGAGTGCATCTGATCAAGCAGGCTGCCAGCGGTGCCGCCCATGTCGATGTCATGGTCGCTGCCGATGAGGACGCCGCTGCCGTTGGAGCCGGCGTGGGAGGCTTGGCAAGACATGTCGCCTACAGCGCCGGCAGAGGGGGCAGCGGTAGGGGCGGGAGGTTCGGGCTGAGGCTCTTGGTATCCGCCGTCCTGGATGCGGTGGACGTCTTTGACGACAGTGGCGTGCTTGCCGACGAGTTCTTCGACGCGGGCAACGATCTCGTCCAGGGACTTGGTGATGATCTTCTGGCTGGGAGCCTCCTCTCCCTCATCGATCTTCCCCTCCAGCCGCCAGAACTCAGTGCCCGTCTCCTGCACCGCAAAGCGCAGCTCCTGCTCCGCCTGCTTGATGACCGCGCTCCGCTTAAACTTAGCCATCATTTTCTCATGCTTAGCCTTCATCTCCTCTATCTCCGCCTTCACCGCCGCATTCCTCTCCTCCACCCTCTTCCGAAACTCATCCGCCAGTCCCGGGTCCAACTTTCCTGTATAAGGTTTCTTAGGCCCTCTCTGCAGCGCATCAAACCCTTGCGCCTCAAAGATCCCTTCCGTAAGCGCCGCCAGCTCGCCCTTCTTTCCCAACCCCAAATCCGAGACCTCAATCTGACCGATCTGGTACGGCGATAAGAGGATCTCCTCCATCCACTCATGATTCTGTTGATACCGCGCCAGACTCAGTTCCCTCGGCGTAAGATGATCAAACATATCACCCGCCGAAACGTCCTCCTCATCATTAAACACATCCGGATGGTATCCAGCAGCTGCGCCCGCCATCTGTGCCGCCTGCGCAGCAGCAGCAGCAGCAGCAGCAGCCGCTGACGACGATGACGACGACTGGCCGCCACGCCTCTTAGGCGCGGGCGCTATCGGCTGCCCCGGATGCGGCGGGTAGGCCATGGCTTGCGGGATGTGGCGCTGGGGGATAGGCGGCGCATACATGGACGTGGCGCGGGTGGGGAAGGGGATCTGCGGCCAGTTGACGCGGTCGGAGAGCATGAACTCCTTGCGGATGATCTGGCCCATGGAGAGGAGGTGCTGACGGAAGTTGAGGAGCTGGTGGATCGGGGGCGGGAGGACGATTGCAGAGACGGGGAGGCGGTCATTTTTCTCAGCCGGTCCGTAGTGCACAATCCAGAGGTTCGGGTCGACTTGGAGGTTGGGGTTGGGCGCCTGACCGGGGGCGAGGAGCAGGCGGAAGCGTCGGCGGGAGTGCACCGCGTATTGCTCACCCATGCGGTAGCCCGCGCGCTGGAAGTAGATCTCGAGGAGCTAGTTTTTTTTTTTTGTTAGCCATCTCTCCCTTGCCTTCAGGCACTTCCCATTCGAGCGTAAACATACCAATCCATTCCCCATATTCTGCTGAAACTGGACTTCCGGCCCCGCCCAGATATACCCATCCGTAGCAAACTCCGTCCCCCTCCTAGCCGTAGGCTGCCAGGTCAACAAAATGGACCCATCTGCCGGGCAATCAAGGTAAGTCCAGTAGAAAGGCGAGGTATCGCGCGCGATCTTGGGCGCCTGCAGCAGCCACTTGGTGACCTCTTGCAGTTCAACCCGAGGCATGGTCGCATAGCGGAAGGTCGAGATGAGGTGGATGTGGGGGAGCTGCACATCGAGCGGTTAGCCGTGATACCTCTTGCGACAATGCCGGTGACTTGATCACAATAAGATTACGCGCGGATGAGGGAAGGGATGAGGTAAACGCACCAGGTCCCCGTGGACATTCTGGCTCGGGTCGACAACAGCCATTGTGTTTGCCATCTTGGATGATTTTTGTCGTCTTCAGTTGAGCAGTGTCATTCCAGAGTTACAAGGCTGACTGCTGTTCTGCCTGCAAGACCGATGTTGGCTTTCTCCTTGTGCAATGGCTTCGCGCGGCAGAACCTGGAGCCTGTCGCGAACTTGCACATTTGGGAAGTTTGCTGGAGCCGCGCCGTCGCGGTTGAGTTGCGCTGCAGCCGATGGCGCTGAAAATGCCAAGGGACAAGGGTATCAGTCACGTGATTAAAGAAGACCCAAACTTGCACAGTTCAAAGTACATCGCACTGTACCGATTACTGTCCTAATCACCCGTCACTATACACAAACAAATCATCAATCACCTCACTTTCTCCAACAACCGTTTCGCGAGAACCCAGTCTCAGCAAAACAGCATGTCATTCATGTAGTAGTATTAGTGACAGCAAAGGCGGTTACTATCATGATCTCCGTTTTTCATCTACGTGAATCCCATCGGCCGTAGCCATCCCGAAAAAAAAAAGATGCCCTTGCCATTCTTTCCTTACTCCGATCCCAGCAAATCTTGCCCCATCCATCCCCCCCAAACACATTCCCCACCCATTCTTTTCTTAAGCATTGTATGTCGAGGCAGAGACGTTGCCGCCCCGCCCGGTCCAGTTGACGTGGATGTCCTTGTCCGCCGGGTACTTCTCGTTGGCCTTCTCGGGCTTGATGCGGAAGGTGTGGGCGCCGAAGTAGTCACGCTGGGCCTGGAGCAGGTTGGCAGGGAGGTCCTTCGTCCTGTACCCATCGAACCACGCCAGCGCAGTCGAGAAGGCCGGGGTCGGGATGCCGAGCAGAGCCGCCTTGGCGACGACGTCGCGCCAGCCGGGCTGCGCCTTGTGGATGGCCTTGTTGAAGAAATCGTCAAAGAGCAGGTTCTCGAGGTCGGGGTTGCGGTTGTACGCCGCACTGATCTCCTTGAGGAAGACGGAGCGGATGATGCAGCCACCGCGCCACATGAGCGCGATCGAGGGCTTGTTGAGCTTCCAGTTATACTCCTTGGCAGCCTGTTGTCTCTATTTTAGTTGCTGAAATCATAATCTGTTTGATCAAGATGGGGCGCGTACCTCCTGCATGAGCATGAAACCCTGGGCATAAGAAATGATCTTGGAAGCATAGAGAGCTTGTTCGAGGTCCTCAAGGAACTGCTCCTTGTTGCCCTCGAAGGTGGTGGCACGGCCGACGAACTCAAGACGAGTCGAGGCCTTGACACGCTCATCCTTGATGGCTGACAGGCAGCGAGCCAGGACAGCCTCAGCAATCAGGGTAACAGGCATGCCCAGATCCAGGGCGTTGACCGAGGTCCACTTGCCGGTACCCTTCTGGCCGGCCTTGTCCAGGATCTTCTCGACGAGAGCTTCTCCATCATCATCATTGTAGTACATAATGTCGCGGGTAATCTCGATCAGGAAGGAGTCAAGAACACCAGTGTTCCACTTAGCGAAGACATCGCCAATCTCCTTGTTGCTCATACCCAGACCACGCTTCATGAGATCATAGGCCTAGTGCTTGTCAGTCAATTGCTCCCCTCTTATATAAGAGAGGGGCCAAAAAAAAGGGGGGGGGGGAAATTAGGGAAAAAAAAAAAAGAAAAGGTAAAACGCACCTCGCAAATCAGCTGCATGTCACCGTACTCAATACCGTTGTGCACCATCTTGACGTAGTGACCGGCACCTTCGTCACCAACCCACTCGCAGCAAGCCTCACCTTCGCTCTTGGCAGCAATGGCCTGGAAGATGTCCTTGATGTAGGGCCAAGCCTCCTCGTTGCCACCAGGCATGAGGGACGGGCCATGGCGAGCGCCCTCCTCACCACCAGAGACACCGGAGCCGACGAAGCGCAGACCCTTGGAGGCAAGGTACTTTACCCTCCTGTTAGTGTCGGGGAAGTGGGAGTTGCCGCCATCAATGATGATATCGCCGGGGCTGAGGAGGGGGATCAGGGTCTCGATCCAGTCATCAACGGGCTTGCCAGCCTGGACCAGGAGCATGATCCGGCGGGGGCTCTTGAGCTTGGAAACGAACTCCTCGACGGAGTGGGCGCCGACGATCGACTTGCCCTTGGCCTCGTTGGCAAGGAAGGCATCGACCTTGGACACGGTCCGGTTGAAGGCGCAGACGGTGAAGCCGTGGTCGGCCATGTTGAGGATCAGGTTCTGGCCCCTTCGTGCCGTGTAAGCTCTGCTGCCCATGGGAGGAGCACACAGTCAGGGAATGAGGGGATGATGAAAACTTACATGACGGCCAGGCCGATCAGGCCGATATCAGCGCTTGGAACATTGTCAGCATCTTTCTCAGACTTGATAAGGGAGCTGGCTGCAGCTCGCAAAGCTCCGCCGACTTGGGCCAGGCGGGCGCTGGAGGGTCACCGAACTCAGCAGGAGACATTCGGGGGAGAGAAGGGAGGGAGGGAGGGAGGGAGGGGGGGAGGAGAGGGGAGAGGGGAAAGGGTTTCAGGGTCCCAGTTTTATACTCCGCGATGTACCCCGCGATGGTCTTCTGCCTCAACTCGACAATTCAGACATAGACAATCGCGCCGCATGACAGACATTGGATCATAGCTCGTCTGAACTCTGTCGACAAGCCCGTGATGGCGACGAGCTACAGGTCGCGTGGGTGAAGGCAGCAACCCAAGCTCGTCCAGCGCCAAGGTGCTGTCAGACAGAAAGCCTGGTGACAGCCTGACGGCGGGGAGGTGGGGTCAGAACGGAGTGGACGGGACTTACACTGCGCCAGACATTGTGAATTGACAGGTTGTGATGGAGAATGGAGGATGTGCACTTCGCGATGAAGCTGATGAGAGGCAGCTTGGAGGTGCAGGAGATGGAGATGTTGTGATGGTTAGGAAGGAGATGAATTCGCTGAAAATTGGTTCAATGGGGAAGATGGAAGGAGGGAGGGGGGGGGAAAAAACAGGACACAGAAGCAGAATGACGAAACTTTTAAGAGTGGGAGCAGGGCGTGGGTGCGGGAAGCAAAGTTGGTCGTCGATGTCGGAGGGGTCAATGGCGGGCAAAGCGACCCTGCATGCAGCTACTGACAGGGAGGAGGCCTGGATCTGGGGCACCACCCTTGGAACCTTTTGGCGGGCGGCACTGCGGACACGGGTAATTACCAACTCCTTACCTACCCGGGATGTCTTCCTCTGTGTGGGCTTACATGAAACTTACAGTGCATTACGAGCAGAAGGGACCTTCCTACTGGCGGCAATGCCTTGTTTTCTTGATCTCCAGGCAAACATGGGGTGATGAGATGCATACGGGAAGGAGCCTCAATGGCTAAAAGGTGCGAAAAAGTGCAGTAACCAATCATTTACCCGATACCTAAATGCTATCAGCCTCAAACCGTCATATGTACATAAGAAATCTTACTCATCCTGCCGCCTCAATTGATGGTGTTAGGACGTCTTTTCTCCCAAGAAACGCGGCCTGGTACCTGACATTGGTAACGTTGAAACAACAGGGAATGGGCCCGGAAAGCGTCTCCAGTGTGGGCTGGCGTGCGTGCAAGTTGGAGCAGGGCGTGGATGAAGCTTCAGGCTTGCTGCCAAGATGCTTAGCTTTCTGTCCCCAGCAGCGGCAGTGCGGCAGACAGATTTGGCCGACTCCTGTCCATGGATGGCCCACGGGGCCCTCTTTTCTGCCATTATCCGACACCGAATGCGTCGGATCGAAGATCTATTGCCCTCGAAACACCACCACCGCTCAGACATCACGGCACAACCAACCGGGTGCCGGTCGTTAGCACTCTGGGAGCTTCAGCGTTTGAGTTTCTACTTCAGAATGCATAGGCCACGCGTCACATGCTTTCCAGGGTTATGCGACACTCAAATTAATTTGAAAATAAAATAAAATAAAACAAAATAAAACAAAAGAACCACTGGCGATGGAGTCGGGCGTTGCGAACCGGCTCCATTTTGGCCGAGAACCCGTCAAGGCCAGAGGACGATATCAAGTCCTCACTGCCATGCGATCTCTGCTTCTCCGACGATTTTACATCTCCGTAGTCACCGGACATCTGATATCTGTTGGCGGTCTCCGCGGATTCTTCGGAAACTGCCAGCGTCTTTCTGCTCTCCATGGAACCTATGAGAGCGTCTCCCCGCAGCCAACCCCTCAAGACTGCACCACCAGTAAGAGGTCTTGTTAAGTTACCCTCGTGATGCGCTCTTGCGCTACTGCTGAGCTGGATGTTGTGTGCCCCCCACTGTCAAACACTTCCACGGGGGTTCATGGTCCACAGAGAGTTGCAAAAAGACTACAAGGCTTACACAATCGCTTACCCAAATTCCCGCAGTTCAGCCACTCACTCTGGGGCTAACGATTTCAGGCTCTTTTGTGTTGGCCAATGGGAAGATTCAGGGGCCTGACAAGGTCAAAGAGTAAGGAGGTCTTTGGCTCCGATTGTTGTCCGCTGTCAAAAAAGTCTAATGTGTGTTTTTTTACGCTGCCCCTAATACGGAATGGGCCTGTCGCCAAAGGTGCAAAGTGTTGGGCGGAGCGTCGCATAGCAGGGAGGAGGAGGGGTTGGTTGCCCCTCTATTGGTGGGGTTTTACTTGACATCCCACCTTGGGTCCTTGCATGACGCACCGCCGGCCGCCTGCGCTGGGCGATTGTGAACGGAAACACCGTCACCCGTGTGGTATGAAAACTGAAATGGTCATGCCATTGGAACTGAATGGAATCATCTGGGCGCCTGTAGTAATGGAGGCGTCTTGCCGGCTTCCCGTCTATGAAAAAAAAAGGAAAAATGTTTGCCAGAACAAAAGCTTTGTGTTACGGCCGGCATTTGAAGCTTGTGTCAGGGACCGGACCCCAGTGACGCAATCCCAGGCTTTTGACGCTCTGCTGCTCTGTTGGGAGCGCACAGATCACACTCTGTCCAGCGTCGCTCGGACCTGTGGCTGATGAGCAATGGCGCCACGCCTGAGTATCCCGGGCATGTGGCGGTGGCCGGCATGCTGAAAATTGGAGGGCCCACCGGCCAGCCACTTTGACGAACCACAGCCCGCCACAGCGCGTCACTTTCAGCTTCGGCTTGGATCCAACTTTTGGCGCCTTCGGCTGGAACATAGCAACACCATCGCCATCGCAACGTCGTCCTCCACAGCGCACAGCAACCGCATCACGGCAACTCAGTGAGCCAGGCAACTCGATTGAGGAGTTGTTGCCGGAGCATTAGCCTTTCACCGGACTGGGCTCACAGGTACGTCGCGACCACAGCTGCCTCCTCCTCTTCCTTCTCCTCCTCCTCCTCCTCCTCCTGTGGTTGCCCTTCGTCCTTCTCCGTGCGCAAATAAAAAAGTCAAGAGAAACAAGAAATTCATCATGTCGTACCCGGGTCCTCCAGGTGTCTCGAAGCCGTCGCATCCATCGCTGCCGCCACGCCCGCCCGTGGTCAAGCTGCCCGGATTCAAGCCCGCCTTTTCCCCAGCCCCGGCAGCAACAGCATCTCCCGCACCACCAGTCCCTCCTACAGTCTCAGCGCCTGGCTACACAGCGCCCGCTCCGTCCTACCCCGGCTACCCCCCCGTCGCGGCACCTCCCAGTTATGGCGTACCCCCAACTGCTACTCCCTACGCAGGCCCAGCGGCCGTCCCCCCCGCCGCTGGCCGCGGTGCCGGCTACGGCCCGGTAGCTCCCACCACAACTCCGTTCAACTATCCCGCAACAACACCGTACACGCAAGCCCCGTCTTACTATGGCGCTTCTGCCGCGACTACGAATGGGTATGGCGCGCATGCCATGCGAAACGCCTACCATCATCACAACAATCCTGGTGCCGACAGCGCCGACTACGATCCTGAGCTTGCTGCGCAAATCGCCCAGTGGCAGAGTGCGTACATGCCGAAGGACCCTGACGATCCGAATAATAAGGCTGGTGCGGGAGCTACTGGCGCACAGAAAGGCGCCGCTGGAGCTCAAGCCTCCTCCGGTCCGCAGATCCCCGATCCAGCCCTCGCCGCGCAAGCCGCTGCGGCTGGCACCGAGCCGGGCGGGAAGAAAAAGACGGTCGTGCGCGAAGGCGGCGGAAAGAAATGGACCGACGACACGTTGCTCGAATGGGACCCCTCCCACTTCCGCCTGTTCGTGGGTAACCTCGCGGGCGAGACAACCGACGAATCCCTCCTCAAAGCCTTCTCCCGGTGGAAGAGCGTACAAAAAGCCAAGGTCATCCGCGACAAGCGGACCAACAAGAGCAAAGGGTTTGGGTTTGTGAGCTTTAGTGATCCGGACGACTTTTTCCAGGCAGCCAAGGAAATGAACGGGAAGTATATCCAGAGTCATCCGGTCGTGGTGAAGAAGGCGAAGACGGAGATTAAGCCAGTTGTGATGAAGGATGATAAGAAAGGGAATAAGAAAGATAAGAAGGGGGGTGCCGAGCAGCATGCTAGCGGGAGTGGGATGGGGGGGGCCCATCATGAAGCGACGGCGTATCATCCTCATTTGGGGCCGATTAAGCCGGCGGGGGTGACGAAGCCTGGGCAGAAGACTAAGGGGGGGCTTAAGTTGCTTGGTTGAAGTCCTTGAGCATGATGAAGCGTCTTTTTCTACACTATTTCAGAAGTCTAGAATGGTTCTTAGGGCGCAACCGGTTCATTCGTCGAGAGCACGCCACTCTTACGGTTCTGACAAGAGGTTAATTGGTCGCTGGATCTTCAACCAAAGACTAATAATCCCAGGGGTACATGTGGAGAAGTCAAGGTTGATCTGCTAGGAGAAAAGGAAAAAAAAAAAATAAAACAGGTTCTAGCGGAGACTCACCATCGCATATGGGAGCTTTTATACGGTTCGCGTACATGTGTTTGATACTCAGGAAGTTGTTTATCTAATAGATGGCGTTGAGGGTGTGAATGATAGTCAGAAGGGAATCGATTTGAGAAATGAGAATTGTAATATTTGCTGTCACTACTCCCCCTTTGGACTGTCTAAACACAATGACTCAAACCCATCACCAGTGTGTACGTACAATAATTTCCCGATGGGTGGACAGCCATTGAATTGCTCTCAGATCTCCCATGCAGCTAAGAAGGTCTCTCTGAGTAGGTGTTTGCTCAGGAATTGTAATCTTTATAACCCATGTTACCTACAGTCATAGGATATGTCAACACATTCATGAAACCAACAATAAGGAGCACAAATCACAGCCATGTGTATGTACTCAATGTACGGATATCAGAGAGAGTGTGTGGGGGGGTATCATGATGCTGATAGTTTTTTCTGACGATGATCGTTAGTAGTAGCAACACATGACAAACGAAAAGAGATTTCAAGTGATGTGACGATGATGCTAATGATCCTTATCTCTCTTCTTTCCTCCAAGACAACCGAAAGACCAAAAAAAGAAAAAAAGAAAAAAAACACCAGCAAACGATTGAAGTCCCAATGCTACAAACACAAATGCATATATCTGTCTGAACCGAATGCCTGCTTGCTTACTGCTGTCCTGTCCCGTCGATCCATCCCGTCCATAAATGACTCCATCAAATTCCTCTACCAAAAGGTTCCGTTTCTATCCCGTTACCCGAGCATACTTCATCTCAGGTACCTCACTGAGGGGTTCCCTTCACCTCGTGCGAAGGAGAAGCAGCAATCACCACATCGCCCCCATCTCCCGTAAACAACACCCTCTCACCACTGCCCTGGTTCAGCGCATTGGCTGCTCCGACAGGCGCATCATCATCGTCCATACTCCTCCTATGATGCGCCCCAGCCGCCGCAAGCAATCCCACGTTCTCACCAACCTCAACCTCCCCCCTTCCACCAACAGGCGAAGGCGACAGCGAATCCGATCTCCTAGCCCTCTCCACGGCAGCATGCTGCGCCGCCAGATGCTCGCTATGCACATCCAGCTGTGCCTCTAGCCGCATCCGCGAGATCTTGATATAATTATACCACCCGATCGCAACTAGCGTGGTGATCAACCCCACCATGTTGATCAGTGTCATGGTATCGCCAAAGACAATCGCCGCCGCGGCGATCGTCACCGCTTCTTTGAAGATGCCCGCAATAGAGAGGGTGACGACAGACGTCCGCTTGAGCAGTGCGAATTCCGACGAGGTCATCAGGAACGCAATCACACCAGGGAAGAGTAACAACAGCGGCGCGACAAGCGCGCCTTTTTGCTCTGCGATCTGCCCCAAGCCGGCGATCAAATTCCCTGCTCCTTCAACAGGGATGGCGATACAGATGAGCGTCAGAAACATGACGGGGGCGAGGAAGAAGATGGAGGAGAAGGGATTGGAGGTAGCGGGGTTGCGGAGGAGGAGGATTTGTGTAAGGGCCCAGCGGAAGCCGGAGAAGAAGGCGGCCGAGATGACGAGAACAAAGCCGCCGAGCTTGAACTCCACTTCACCAGCGACCATCATGACGACGCCGACGGTCATGATGGCGATGATGGTGACGAGCTTCCAGTTGGGAGTTTCGAGGCGGAAGAGGAAGGCGAAGAGGAGGACGAAGGCGAGGGAGGAGGATTTACACATTGCTGTTTTTTTGGCGGGGGGGGAAAAGGTTGTCAGCAGGCAGTATACGGCAGGACAACGGGTTTTTCTTACTGTAAAAAGTCAAGGTAATGAACTGGAGGGAAGCATTTCCCAAACCGATGTCCAGGCCGGTCGCCAAACCGCAGGGCCCGATCCTGGTGAGGTAGAAGGTCTTGGTCATGACCGGTTGTGATGGGTCTGACCTCGGATGTTGCGGGCGGAAAGAGGGGAAGAGGTAGAGAACGAGAGAGGCAAGGGAAAACTGCACAAGCATGTGCGTAGCGGTGGTGAACATAGGAAAAGGAAAGTTGAGGTTGTCTGGTGAAAACATCCATTTGTTGTACTGGCGGCGGTTAGCAAAGTCCCAGTCCCACGAAAACGGAGCGAAACCTACTAGAGATATCAACAATGAAAAGGTATACCAGAGGCCAATCAGCAGCACATTGATCAGCAGGTTCTTGAGCACGCTAAGATCCGCCTCTTTCTTCTCTTCTCGCGTGATATGCTCCCTCGCAACTCGCTGATCCAGCTGTTGATTTCTCAATCTCTTGAGCCTTTTCCTCCGACGCTCTCGGTCTGTCAAGCCTGTCTCCTCGTCGTCGTGCAAGTCCTCGTCCGACAAGCCGTCCTCATCCGAGTGATTCCGACTACTAATATCTCCTCCTCCTCCTCCTCCTCCTCCTCCTCTTCCTCCTCCTCCTCCAGCAGCTCCTCCAACCCGCAACGACTCGACCATTATCGGTTGTTCTTCTCCAGTCTCCTCAAGAATTTTGGCGTCCGCTGCACTGCTGCTGCCGCTGGCGCCGCCGTCGGGTGAGCATCTTCGGATGGACCGTGAGCGGGCCCGGCCCAGGTGGTTTGCTGCTGCTGCTGTTGCTGCGCTAGCTGGGTTGATCAGGCTGCTTCTTCGCCGGCGGTGGCCCGACTGGGTGATCGCGTCCATCTCGATGGTAGTGGTGACCGGTTGAGCGGTCGAGCCGAGATCAGGCGGGTTAGGGGGGTCGTGTCTGGAGTCGCCGGGTATGTGGCCGGCTAGGAGGGCTTGGTTGGAGTGCTCGGAACGCCAATGCTCGGCTTCGTAGTCGTTGTGATGGTTGTAGATGCTGGTGTTGACGTTGTCCGATGTCACAGCAGGGGGGGCCGTGTCTGTGTGTCTCATCAGATGAAAGGAATGACTCCGGATCGGGCGAAATGCGATGATCCGGGTCAAGTGACGTCGAGGGATCGTGACCGTGACGGACAAGAGGATAAGAAGAAGAAGAAGAAGAAGAAGAAGAAGAAGGAGAAAAAGAAGCGGAAGACGAAGGCCTCGGGGGCGAACGACCCGAGGGGAGAGGGACGATGGGAGACGACGGACGGGGAGTCGGGTCGCCCACACTGGCGGTTGGAAGAGCGGACATCGTCATATGCAGCGCGAACTCGATACATACATAGGCACCGTGTAGGCCGGACCCAGCGACAAGGGACCCTGTGGCATCTGTGGACGTCAAGGTTGGAATCGATCAATCAAGGCGCGAGCGGAGCGAACCATCACGGGACCGTAAACAGTGCGCTCCAGTTGCTCCAGTCCGTCGTCGGTCCAATTGCGCGGGTCGTTGCCCCTTGGCTGGCGCCGCCCAGGGCAGCCTATCCCAGCACAGGTATCGCGCTGCGGAGCTGTGAGACAGCTAGACACTCTCTCATTGGCTGCTCGGAAAGGGGGCTGGGCCTGCCGTGGAGCTTTTTTGAAGTTTCTGGGGACTCGCCGCAGCCTGAAGCCTTGGCCAGCTGGAGCCAGCTGAGATTTGGCTGTCCCTTGATCGGTGAGGCATGCGAGAGGCAGCTCGTTGCCGAGATCACCTTCCCGATAGCTCCGTCTTGGGCAGCAATTTTACTCTGTTTACTAAATACCTACCTCGCTTTGAATTTTACTCGATATATGCATTGACGCTCATCCTCGCATCGCTGGGGGCATGTTTCACGGGTCTCAGAATGCGCGGTTGTAACTGTGCGATCGTCCGCAAAATTAGACTAAATGTCGTTCTCATTCGTTTCCATGCAGTGCAAATGACTGCAAGCTGATGTTGATCTGCATTGGTCTTGCATCGATAGTTGCGGGATTGGGGGGATGGGGGGAAAGGTCACAACAAACTTCCAATTGGCGTCGCAAAAGCGAACAGAGCGGCAAAAAAAAAAAAAGAAAAAGAAAAAAAAAACGGACGGAAGCTTTGCATCTTGTTGGGCATTTTGTTGGAAGTTGTGTGCGACGTCAATTGGCCAGTTTGGCCGCCCTTTTCTCCCCGCACTTCCCACCACACCCGCTTCCGATTCCGATTCGACTCCCGACGTCACCGCCATGCCATGCCATGCCGTACAATTTGCCATGCCACACCGTTTTTCTTCGGTTTGTGTCTGAACATTGAGAGCCCGGTGGCTTTCAGTTGCGGGGGACGACGCCTCGAAGGCGGGGAACCTGGGAAACCTGGGCTCGGGGGCTAGTAAGTGAGGGGAAGCCGACAATTATGCCCCTGCTCTGAGGCTTTCTCTCGCACCGACCTTACACATTACACCGACGTCATTGAGACTCCAGTCAACGTCCAACTCCCCCGCTTGACACTAATCCATCCTCCCAGTTAATCAGGCCGGTTCTGAGCAACGCCTAGTGCTCTGACTCGTGGTGTTATGTCCTACCTGTCTTCATTCTGTAGCCATGATGAGTGAAAGCTTTGTAGCAGAGGATGACACGCATTCGGATCAAAGATGATGTCGGTGTCGAGAACGACTCGATCTTGCTCATAGTTTCATCTCTTCCTCGCGCTTCCCTTCCCCCCTCTCTCTTATCCTCATCGGGGTCCGGGATCCATCTTCATCCGTACTTTCCGGCTTCTTGACCGTGACGTCGTGTGAACAAAATCGAGCTCCGAGCCTTCTTTCAGTCGCACATCGTAGGAGCAACCCACGCAGGCCATGCCATACCATGCTCAACGATCCACGGCATCCCCTTCTTTGTCTGGGATTCGGTCCCATTCCGGCACCCGGTTGAGCCGGCATCTTCCTCGCCAAAGTGATCATCTCAAAACAACTGATCCGATAAGACGATCGGTAGCTCGGATACAAAACAAGTTGACCTTCATCTCCCGTCTCCTGAATTTCATCTCTCTTCTCTCCAGCTCGTTGTGAAGACGTCGACGATTCTCACCATGACAACATACTGTACCCAATGCACCGACAGCCAGATGCGTCAGCAGGGCGGCGGCTACCTGCCCATCGAGAACTATGGCTTAATCGGCAACATGAGGACCTGCGCTCTGGTCGGCATGGACGGGAGTGTAGACTTTATGTGCTGGTGTGTGCCCTGATCCATTGTCATGTATCATCCCTTCCTCAGACCATTAATGACCATCCTCAGGCCCGAGTTCGATTCTCCTTCCGTCTTCTGCCGTCTACTGGACAAAGACAAGGGCGGCCACTTTAGCATCCATCCAGCGCCCCATCTCAGCTGTACCACCAAGCAGCAGTACCTGCCTTCATCCAACATCCTCCAAACACGGTACATCCATGAAGACGGTGTTGTCGACGTGGTCGATTTCTTCCCACGCCCGAGAAGTGCTAAAGTCATCTTTAAGGGGCCAAAACAGGGGGCGTATCGGGAGATGACTAGCGTGAGGGAGGAGCTGAAACAGTGGCTTGTCCGAAGGGTTGAGTGCATACGTGGTCATTTAGAGCTCAGTATGTCTCGCTTTACTCTTAATGGATTCTAGAAGGGAGCTTGCTGACACCTTTCCCCCCTTCCCCCCCAAAAAGACGTCGAAATCTTCCCAGCCTTCGAGTACGCCACCGAACCACACACCACGACAATCCTTCAAGACCAAGACTTGCCCCAAAGCTCCCAAAGCAAAACCGTCACATTCCATAGCAAAAATGTCAAGCTCCAACTCGACGTGACCATCGACAGAGCCGACGACGACCTCGACAATGTTAGCTCGCCCGTCGTCCGCTTCCACAAGGTGTTACGTCCTGGCATGCTGGGCGACGGCGTTGTGGCCAGGATTGAGCTAGCCGAGGGCCAGGCCGTCTCCTTCGTCCTGCGTAATGACATCCCCAATCACGTCACCGAGAACATTACGTCTTCTGTGCTTGATAGCCAGCAGCATTCAACTCAGACATACTGGGCCAACTGGATCTCCAAAAGCCAGTACAAAGGCCGCTGGCGGGAGGTCGTATCCCGCAGCTTAATGATACTCAAACTCATGACCTACGAACCAACCGGCGCGATCATCGCCGCACCGACGTTCTCCATCCCCGAAGATATCGGGGGCGTTCGGTTCGTTTCAATCCCCTTCCTGTTTCCCCCCTTCCCCCCCCCCCCTCCCCAAAAAAAAACCAACCAAATACATGCCCGCACATCTAACGTGCTCGTAACTCTCACACACTAGAGGAATCCAAACAGACGTGACTAACCGCCGCTCCAGCAACTGGGACTACCGCTACTCGTGGGTCCGCGACTCGAGCTTCACCATCTACATCCTGTTACGCCTCGGCTTCACCGAAGAAGCGGACGCCTACATGAACTTCATCAGCGAGCGCTTCGTGAAATCACGGGTCGCCGACGGCGGGCTACCTATCATGTTCACGATCCGCGGCGAAACGGATATTCCCGAGCGCGAGCTCACCCATCTCGATGGGTATCGGGGGAGTAAGCCGGTACGGATCGGGAACGGCGCTGCATCCCACCAGCAGTTTGATATTTACGGGGAACTGATGGACGGAATTTATCTGTACAACAAGTACGGGAAGCCGATTCACTGGGACCTGTGGTGTTCAGTGCGCAAGATGTTGGATTATGTGTTGACGATTCTCAACCAGCCGGATATGTCGATCTGGGAGGTGCGCAACAACAAGCAGAATTTCACGTACTCAAAAATCATGCTCTGGGTGGCGTTTGATCGCGGTTTGCGTCTAGCCGACAAGAGGAACTTCCCCTGTCCGAATCGGCAGGCCTGGTTGCGGGCACGGGATGACCTGTACGAGGAGATTATGGAGAAGGGGTATAACACGGAGATGGAGTGCTTTATTCAGAGTTACGAGTCGAGGGATAAGTTGGATTCGTCGATTCTCGTTGCGCCGCTGGTGTTTTTCATTGCGCCGAATGATCCGCGCTTTACCAAGACCATGGATCGGATCATGCGGCCGCCTGATAAGGGCGGGCTGACGAGTACCGGGCTAGTGTATAGGTATAATACTGATTTGTCGGAGGATGGTACGTCCCCTTTCCCGCGCGCCCCGCCCCCCCCCCCTCTCCCTTCCCCTTCTTCCCTCCCATTGCAAACACGACCTCACCGTCCTAGACGAGACTAACTAACTAACTAATTAACTAATTAACTAACTAACCCCAGGGGTAGGCGGCCGCGAAGGCGCCTTCAGCATGTGCACATTCTGGCTCGTAGAAGCGATGACGCGCGCCGCGCAGCACGAGCCGATGTATCTGCAGCGGGCGATCAACTTGTTTGAGAACATGCTGTCGTTTTCGAATCATTTGTGTATGTTCTCGGAGGAAATTTCGAGGTCGGGAGAGCAACTTGGGAATACGCCGCAGGCGTTTAGTCATTTGGCGCTGATTAGTGCTGCGTTTAATTTGGATCGGGTGGCGGAGAAGAAGGGTGGGGGGGATAGGTAGGTAGGTAGGTAGGTAGGTAGGTAGGTAGGTAGGTTGAGGGGATGGGTTGGGAGAGGCGACTGAAGAAGCGAAGTTGTCGATGTGATTGCGAGGAAAGGTTGTTGAAGAGGGACTGGGGTCATGTCCCGATGGGGGAGCTAAAGTGAATCCCTCCTCCCCAGCCAGAAGTGGTCCGGCAATTCATTGGACTGACCTGGCTGTCATGATACTTGAGATGTACAAAGCTTGGTAGCTGTAGCATTACATACCATTGAGTTCACAGAGCTGTCCTTTCTCATACAAATCAGTATACAAAAGCGCGAATGATTGATATCTTTTTCGACCTGACGCCCAACGCCGTCGCTATGCTCGACAAACAGTACCGACCCTCCCCCCCCTTCTCCCTCCCATCCATCCCATCCGTCCGTCCGTCCGTCCGTCCATCCATCCATTCATTCATTTCATTCATCCAACCTAGACCTGACCCTCCGAAACCCAGCTGAATGAAAAGTACCCCTAGATAATATAGTACTTTATAGCACGCCAGACACAACGCCGTGTCCCACATCCGCCCATCCTCAATTGGCCCTATCCTTCTCTCCCCACCACCTTTCTTCTGCAGAGACTAGGACAAATCCATATCCTCCGCGATACTCCTATCCCCCAGCGAACTCAACCCCGAACTCCCGGGTCTTGAGTCCTTCTCTCCGTTCCCGTTTACACCTTCCGCCTGACCGTCAGCATTGGCATCACGCGGCCGCACAGCCGCCCGCCGCATACGCTCCTCCCACGCCTCAATGCTCGGGCAGTCCCACCCTTCAATCACAATCTCCTCGCCAAAGTCGATGCTCCGGCCGAGGAGCGTACCTAGGTACTTGGAGTCGTCGTCGTTTTTGGAATGTTTCTTTTTGAGGGCTGCAAATACGCACGTCTGTCAGTCTCATAGCTGGAAGGAGAGCAGGGGGAGAGGAAAATTGTGGGGACACGTACCGTCGAGATAGTCGCTGGCCTCATCATTCCCGTCTAACGCAATCCGCTTGATTTCGCGATTGACTGGACCCGTCGCCCACGCGATAAAGCTTTCTACTCCACGCAGGTCTTCGACACCAAGGTATTCCTGCTCTTCGATGATTCGCTCGGGCATGAACGCGCCTGCGCGCTGGAGTGCCATGCGCACGTCGACGATGGTTGGGACGGGGACGGGGACGGAGGGGATGGGGCGTTTTGTAGGGGCACTGCTCGTCACGCTCGCTCCGTTGACATTACCAACGCCGTTGGCGTTCTGGTTCCCATACCCAGTCCCACTCCCATTGACCTCCCCAGCATTCCCATCTCCCCCCCCGTCCACCTGTCCCCCTCCCGCCCCATTGGCACCTGCCATAATCTCACTCCTAGCCCTCTCCCACTCATCCAGCAGCTCCATATCAAACATCGAGACCTCGCCCTCATTGTTATGCGACGCATACAGCGCGGTCAGCTGGCACAGATGCGAGAGGTAGCGCGCGGCCAGGTCGGTCACGGTGTCAAGGACGTTGGTCTTGGCCGCGTGGTAGCCTGCTGCGCGGAGGATCTGGAGGATGGCGGGCCGAAGGAGGGCGTGGTAGAGGGGTGGTGGGGGCGTCATTTTGGTATGTATAAAATCTGAGAGCAGTTGAGAGGAGAGTCAAGTGAGAGGAGCAGGTTGGTGTCGATAGGGGAGACACAACCAACGCTTGGTTGAGGATATCGTTGAAGGGATTGAGGTTCCAAGAGCTGCTGGATACGTTTAGCGCTGCGATTTGGTGTGAGGAGATGATCGATTGCAGAGCCTCTGGGTGAGATGAGTGGTTGAAATCGAATCTCTCAGACCCTCACGCAGCTTTTGGTGAAGCCAATACCCAAGGACTCCTTAACAATGTTATTATCAGCCAAGCAGCTTCACAGTTCACCAGTATTAGAGCTCCATTACTGATGAGGAATCGCTGACTTGCTGATCTGTGAGAGTAGTATTGTCGACTGTTGACTTTGATTTGGTCGCTTTTTGAGTGAAGGTGGGCGTTCAGCAACGGTTTTGAGAGGGCCGGTGCACAAAGGGTCTCTTATGAAACACAAGATTAAGGAATTAGACAGTGTTTCAGTACTAGGCAGATTTGGGTATATTCGGTAGTCGTCTGTCAAAGCCCACCTTGGTCTCGGGTATCGTGAAGTCGACAATGGTGATGAGATCCAGATCGAGTCTCAACATCCGCTGTCTGTTTGGCTGCCGCGACAGATGATCCACAGTGGTGCCAAGACATGTACTGGACCCACTTGACAGTTTGCTAAGCCAAGAATTGTGGCCCCACATTTCAGTGCACGAACCACCGTTTTAAGTTTCGCCGGCAGCTGGCAAGTCCACCCAAGACTGTCGCGCCGCATCACAGGCCGCGCCAAACTTGCCCCATGCGAATGTCGCGCCTCCAGGCTCCATGCCAATCTATCAATGGCCAAGGTGCTATTGTTCTTCCCGGAGTGAGGCTTTGAATAAGAGAAGCCTTCATGAGCCATCAACCGACTTGACAATAGGGTCAAATAAGCTGCCCTGAACCCCTCAACCGGTCAAACATTGCTTGTAAAATTCAGCACCATCCACAGCTCACGACGTGGCTCACTCCATCACCTACGGTATTCATCTCAGTCATCGCTACCTTCACTTCCGAGTCGCTGCCATCATCCAGGCAGTGTGAACAGTAGTCGCCCATCTTCTGGCATCCCGGAATTCTCACAGTCATTGACCTTAATTCAATTGCCATTCCCCCTTTCCGCCAACTCTTGCGTACCTGTCCTCGACAACGCCTGTCTCTCTTGCTGAGCGATTCTTTGTGTCTCGGTTGTTGTTGTTGTTGTTGTTGTTGAAGAGAATAACGACCTCACGACGATTGTTGCCAACGCGAAGATTGTTCCACCTGACGACTCACTATTCAGACCGAAGATTATTGTTACACAGCAACAACAAAGTTGTCCGCCGTCTTGTCTTGTGACAACGATTGAGTTGTCCCTGACTCTCAGTTTCATCAGTCTCGGACAGAACGGCCGAAGTCATTGTCAACGAGCTTTCTCTGACATGTTAACCAAGCTGCATCACTAGCCGCACACCCCTTTGTCGAGCATCAGGCAGAACATCCCCAAATATGGAGTCACCCCAACCGCCGCCGCAGCCAAAGCGGCTCCCCAGTCTGAAGATCACAGCCAGCGGGCAAATCGTCACCAGCACCAACTCCTCCTCGGCCTCAGGCCTCTCGAACGGCACCTCCTCTGCCCCGCCGCAATCCGCTCCCTCCCAAACCCCCCAGTCTACCGCAGGAAGCGGCTTCCCTAAGATTAAGCTCGTTGCGAAATCTTCCACAGTCCAGCCCTCACAACCCTCCACACCAGCCGACTCGCGGCCATCAGACGCCATGCTGAGTGCGGCCGCATCATCGCCCTCCTCAGGGCCTCCTAAAATTGTCACGCAGGCCGGCCGAGTCTCCATTCCGACGGCCAAGAAGCGTGCGCGCGAGGAGAATGATGACTCAGATGAGGACCTACCCCTTGCGGCTAAGAACCACCATCACAATTACCAGAGCAATGCGTCCAAAAACGATTCCCCCCACATCAAAAAGACCAAAATTACCATCAAACCCCCGACCACGCCTGGCGGCGGCGGCATCGTGCGCCAGCCCACCCTCAAAGTCAAGCCCGTCGGCCGCATCCCCACCCGTCCACCCGGCGAAGGCTACGACTCGGAGGCCGAAGACCGCGAGGTGGATCCCGTCATTGAGGAACAGTTCCTCCTGCGTCTGCTACCAGGTGAGCACTGCGAGTATGTACGCAAGTGCATCCAGGAGCGCAAGATTGGCCTGCCTAAGCACCAAGGTGGTGCAGACATCCAGCTGCGGTGGCTGGATGATGAGGGGCGGAGGGCGTGTCTTACCATCTTGGGGCAGCACTTTGCCGGGGTGTTGCTCGATCTGCCGACTATTACGGAAGGCATGAAGACGTGGGATAAAAAGAATATGGTAAAGTCATCGGATATATGCCAGATGTTGCTGGTGTTTGCCAAGGTGAATAGCGAGGAGGAGGCAAAAAGTATCGAGCTGCCGAGCCCGGTCGAGCCTGGCTACCGCTGGCCGCATGGGATCACGCCGCCGATGCATGATGCAAGGAATCGGAGGTTCAGGAAGAGGCTGAGTAAGTTGGAGATCAAGAATAAGGAGGCTGAGGTGGAGAGACTGTTGAACGCGGACCGGGACGCGGTGAATGTCAAGACGGAGTGGATTGATGCGAAGAGGGAGGTTGCTGAGGTCGAGGAGGATGAAGAGGAGTATGATGAGGATGCGGAGGGAGAGATGGATGAGTTCTTTGGTGGGGGCTCGCAGGTTCCCGCAACGCAGATGCAGCGGCGGCAGCAGCAGGACGAGGAAGAGGAGGAGGAGGAGGGGAGG